AGCGCAGCTTGTCCGCCAGAGATTTCGACTTGATCCGTTCCGCAGTCGACAGTGCCAAGAGCAGCAACTCGACTTCGACCATTCGTCTGTCAGATAGGCCCTGGAATATGACAATATCATACACCCCAAACAATGCCACCGTCAGCGAATCCATCATCTGGACTTACGCCAAGAGGTTCTTCTTCGGTGTGCCCTACCCCTTCTCCCAGCTTGCGCAGAACGACAAACCGGGCTATTTCTCTATGCTTGACAAGAACGGTACAGCTCTCAACGCTACCTCAGACCCTCTCGGCGTCCGCAGCCCTTCGCTATTGTCCGACGTCCCCTTCTTTAACTGGTTCCAGTCCCAAAGCGCCAATAGGTTCATCATTGACGTGATAGAGGGACAAATCATCACCTTGCTCGTTGTGGTAGCTTTTATCCTTGTCTTTCTCATCCGGGAGTGGGTGGTTCAGCAACAGCCTGTGATCAACATGGTTGCTATTGGTGATAACGCTGCTGCGCAAAGGGCAGCGCTCGTAGAAGAGGAGGCTCTTGTGGATAATGTGGTTGTTGACGAGGGTGAGTTGGACGACGCCTTAAATGCACTGGACGCAGAGGTGGCTGGAGAAGCCGAAGAGGCTCATGAACCTCGGAATGTTGACGAGAACGAACCGGCGGCTCCTGAACAGCTCGCTCACGACATCGATGAGCCTGAGGCCTCGGAACCTACAATACGCCGTGTTCGCCGATCTTCTTCGCTTCGCAGAGAACGCGACGAGCTTATCCGTGATATAGTACAGGATGGCCTGTCCGACGACGTCAGGTCAATGATGCAATTGGGACCATCTGATAATCTTGCGGACGCCTTCACTGAAGGTGGGCCGTCTCAAACCCTCCAAGAGACACTTCAGCGAGCGATGAACGCGAGAGAAACTTTGAATCGAGCTGAGAGCGACGGTGAGGCTAGCAGTCCCATCTTTCCTACGAGGGGCTCGTCCCTCTATCAACCTCCAGACTCAACGCTAGATGTAGCAGGTTCCGAGTCATCATCATCTTCGAGACCAAATATGCCAGCACGCGACAAATCTTTCATTGCGACTGAGATTCGCCGTAGCCTAGAGGAAGGTAATACATGGTCATTCGAGAACGTACCAGAAGCATCGGCATCAAACACAAACACGGCTGAGAACGTGCCCGACTTCTGGGAAGATGATGACAATGTGCGTCGACGAGACGACCAAGAGCCCGAGACCGCATCAGAGCAGGAGCCGGGTAGTGAGCACAGTAGTGGAAGCTGGCAACAAGTCCCTGAGATTGTGGAAGATGACTCTGACCAAGCGCTGGAAAGAGAACATGTTCACGACAAGGGTAAAGCCAAAACTATTGACACCAGCACAGAGGATGTCCCACAAGAGTCAACATCGTCCGCAGAAAGTGGTGCTGCTAATGTAGACAATGCAATTACAGTCGACACCACGATTGAAGTTGACAACAGCAGCAGTCAACCCGAACAAGATTCGAGCGTCGATGAAGGACACAGAGACCCCGAAGTCGTTGAGCAAAACCAAGACGAGCAGGCTGCACCTCTGGTCAACGCACAACCAGCAGAACCTCAACTTCCACAAAACCCAATGAACCAGGTCTTGGACTGGATGTTTGGGGACATAGCGCCAATGGCGCAAGCCGCCGAGGAAGGAGGCAACGACGAGCATATTGTGCGTGATCTAGCAGATGAGGCCCCATTTGTCCCATTTCTAGGGAACGAGCCGCGGGATCATGGCAATGCTGCACCTCAAGATCCTGAAGTCGCTGCTGCTGCCGCACAAGCTGGCATAGACGTCAACGATCAGGAAGCAATCGAAGACGCAGAGGACCTGGAAGGCATACTCGAGCTCATTGGTATGCAAGGACCTATCGTCGGACTCTTTCAAAACGCCTTGTTCAGCGCTGTGCTGATTTCCGCGACACTGGCTTGCGCCGTCTGGCTTCCCTATCTTTGGGGCAAAGTCGTTATCCTGTTCATGGGAAGTCCTATTTCACTCTTCGTCAAGCTTCCTTTGCAAGTCGTGGCCGCAGTTACAGACTTCATTGTCGATGTCACTCTCTTCCTCGTGGCTGGTACGACATACTGGGGCTCTTACGCCATCTCTAGTATGGTAAAACTATGTTCCTTGGGAAAGCTATCTCAAAGCATAGACGGTCCACTCCGCGCAGTGTCCACACCAGCATATTCACTTGCAGAGAGTGCCATGGTCCGCATCGGGAAGATGTTTGTAGAGTCGCCTCTGTCACCTCGTCCCGACTACTTCCGACTCTCGGTCAATGCGCATGCTTCACTGCGAAGTCTACAAAACACGACTTCGTTCGCGCTGAACGAGACTGGTAACTTTGCAAATGCTATCATTGAGGAGATCTCAGCAGACTCTCCGTTCAGGCTCATTTTGAGAGTCCTTGGGTACCTTCCTTTCTTAGTCCAAAACGTCTGTACGACTGCCTATAGCCAGTGCAGCGCTCTACTCACATGGCTTTGGACCTCCAAGTCGTACAAAATCACTTTTGATCTTGATCTGAACCGCAACACCACTGCAGCATACACTGTAATGGAGCGGTGGACAGCGAGCGACCGCTTGATCGCAATCCTTGCTGGCTATGGGTTCTTCGCCTTCGCCGGCGCAGTGTACCTGAGGCGCGGAACTCCTTTCAGCTCGTCGCAGCAAGGACAAAAAATTGAGCGCGTTCTATCCGATATACTACAACAAGCTGGTGGCGTGTTGAAAGTCATCCTCATTATTAGCATAGAGATGCTAGCATTTCCGTTGTACTGCGGTCTGCTTCTTGACCTGGCTATGCTTCCACTTTTCAAGAACGCTACGCTGTACACCCGGTGGCAGTTTGCGAGGGAAAGCCCCTGGACATCTGGATTCGTACATTGGTTCATCGGCACTTGCTACATGTTCCATTTTGCCCTCTTCGTGTCCATGTGCCGCAAGATCATGCGCAAAGGCGTATTGTACTTTATCCGCGACCCGGATGATCCAACCTTCCATCCTGTCCGGGACGTTCTGGAGCGCAGTGTTACGACCCAGCTCCGCAAGATCGCTTTCAGCGCTCTAGTATACGGAGCACTCGTTATCGTATGCCTTGGTGGTGTCGTATGGACTCTGAGCCGCGCTACTGCAAACGTCCTGCCAATCCACTGGACGACCGAAGCGCCATCGCTAGAGTTTCCTCTTGACCTTCTCTTCTACAACTTTCTTACGCCTGTCATCATCAAGTTCTACAAGCCTAGCGAAGGTCTGCATGTCGTCTACAAATGGTGCTTCCAGAAATGTGCGGGCTTCCTTCGTCTATCCAACTTCCTTTTTGGCGACAAAGTCCCTACACAAGAAGGTGATGACGGTCGATATGTTCGTGCACCAGCCTCTGACCAAGCTCGCATTCCAAAGGGGCAGCCTGTCTTCGTCGAAGTCGACCGGGATAACGTGCGTAAAGACGGGCAGACTGAGGGCGGAGTGCACAACTCTGATCTCGTGTCGATGGTGTTCATTCCACCATGGTTCCGCGTACGTATCTTCTGCTTCATCGTCACTATATGGATCTTCATGGGTCTCTCTGGAGTCAGCGTTACGATCTTGCCTCTTCTCTTCGGTCGCTACCTCTTCTCTCTCTTCCTCCCACCAACGGTCGAAATGAACGACATCCACGCCTTCTCCCTTGGCGTCTACACCCTAGCTAGCATTGGCTACTCAGCCTATCATGCAGGAAAGTTTATCTCCACCCTGAACAGATCCATCCCAGATCCCATGGCCACTCTCCGCACAGTAGCAGCGACAACATCTCGGGTAGGCGGCCGCGCCCTCCGCTTCTCATATGTTTGGGCCACGCTCATCTTTGCCATCCCCTTCCTCTTCGCCGTCCTCCTCGAACTCTACTTCCTCATGCCCTTGCACGCCTACCTCGGTCCTAAGGAACCCCACGTCGTCCATGTCATCCAAGACTGGACCTTGGGCTTTTTATACTCTCGTCTTGCCGCGCGTCTCGTATTTGCGAATCGCAATTCCCGCCCTGCACGCGCGTTCAAGGCTGTTATTCGCGATGGTTGGCTCTACCCCAATGCCAAAATTGCGACAAGGTGTTTCCTTGTCCCCGTATTGGCGTTGTTCCTTGTCGCCATCGCTGTGCCGTATAGTTTGGCGTTTGTTACCTCCAGAACGCTCTATCGGGGCGCGAGTGAGGCGACGAAGAACCTACTCTGGCGCTTTAGTTTCCCCGCTGTGGGACTTGCTTTGGTGGTTATGTGGGCTTCTTCGGCGGCTGTCAGGCTGTTGGTAAGATGGAGGTTGGTTGTAAGGGATGAGGTGTATTTGATTGGTGAGCGGCTGCATAATTTCGGTGAGAAGAAGGCGCCTGCTCAATCGTCTGTGTCTGCGGTGGATGCCGGGACTCAGACTGCTTAGATTGTTGCTGGTAAATCAGCGTATCAGGTAGTGTCGCTCTGTTCTGCGGTTCTTGGTGGGAGCTCTTGTGTCTTCCTGTGATACTTTTTTCTGAAGTATTCGGGCTGGTCATGACAGACGGCTGGCTCTTTAGCTATACCTCAATCCCACGCTATCGTCGTTTAAACATTATCTCCGTTATCTCATAATATCTTACTCATCTCCTCAAAACGCCAACTAGTTACCATATCGAGCTCGATTGTGTCAAAGCGTGTCGTGCATCATGCAGTGTATTCATATGAGGGGCTCATACCATTGAGCAAAAAGGTAAGCTAGGCTACTTGATTTGGGTATAACTAGGACATCACAAGATTGGTCTTTCTCCTCCCGTAAGCATGCGAAAGGACCCGTTGATTCTCATCTCATTTCCTTTCGTCTCATTCAATAATAGTGTACAAGTGTCGTATTCAAAGGTAGGAAAGAAGATAAAAGAAGAAAGCCTCCACAAGCAGAACATGCATGTACAAGATGCTGAGGAACTTGTAGCTGCTACAAGCTGAGGGTTCGATGCCTCCATGCTCTTCACTTCCGCTTTCCAGGTTTAGATCGTGTTGTAGGTCGTGATGAAGCAGTTTTGGCTTGACTTGATGCTGTGGGCGCGTCAAATGACCTTGTTGCTCTCTTCTTTAGCGCCTTCGTAGAGCCTTCGACACTCGGCTCGTCTTGTGCCTTTCGCTTCAGAGAGGACTTAAGGGTGTCAAGATCGGGGGCGCTCGAGAGGGTATTCGACGAAGTAGTATTGGCCTCGGAGACACGAACACTACGCTTGAGATCCGATGAAGGTGGTGTTGGTGGTTGGTGTACGGTTTCCTTCATCGTGCCCTCTTCTTCGTAAGGTGTTCCTTGACTTGTCCCATTCCGCTGTTTAGCTATCCATGTAAGAAGTTCCTCTTCGGCGGCATTGTGAGTTTCGTCATCTACGTCGTCTCCGTCTTCTTCTCCACCTAGTATCGCCTCTGCCATCTCACCCGCGACATCATCACCGGCACTCTCGTCCGCTGCCATGCGCATAGCGAACTGGAGCAGTTGTTGGGGATCCATTCCGCTCAGTGGTCCGCCAGCAGTAGCGAGTTGTCGCTGCAATGCTGCCATTAGCGCCTCCTGCGGTATTCCTTGTTCTCCATTGTCCATGCCATCGTCCTCCACGTCGCCGTCATCGTCCTCGTCGTACGGAGGAGATGCAGGCTCTGTGACGAAAGCCATTTTTGCTTTCCCCTTTCTTGGCTGTGATGTCCGTATCTCTGGCGAGCTCGGTGGTGAGCCTCTGGCCCAATCTGGTATATCTGCAAGCTTCTCTCTCCAGTTCTTGAACAAGGCATATGGCTGCGCGTTGTCGTCGAGTGTCTTTGGTTTTATGCCACGATCCGCCTGCGAGCGCCAAACAATGGGCGAGTGACCCACTGGTGTCGGTTCGGTCTTGGTGCTCACACTCTCCTTTATCAACCTCTTTTTAGCCGGAACGCTCCTCAGCAGTCGCTTCCGCTTTGAGCCTGCTTTTGCGCCCTTGACATCGAGCGCTTGGAACTGTGTATCATCATAGCCGTCTGATGCGTACTCGAGATCGTTGAAGTAGTCGAAACGGTCCCAGTCGTCCTCCATATCCTCATCGCCGCACGTTGCCGGTGGTGGTGAGGCAACAGCGTGCTCTGCGAGATCGTCGGCAGCCATGTACTCGTCTTCGACATAGAAGAAGTCGCCATCGTAATCATCGTCGTAGTCTTCGTAGTCGCTCATGCTGGGCAGGATCGAGGGTAGTGTATGCGATTACTTGGGCTGAATGCAGTTGCGGACGTTGTCGCGTTTCGGCGGGAAGGTGATGGGAAACGCGACTATATCGTTGCGCGTCTGTGTCGTTGAGTCGGAGGGCCGAGTCGGGGTTGCGTGGTCGGGGCGAGTAAGGGTGTGAGGGTATGACGCGGGCGTGCAGAGCACTTCCCTGAGCGCACGGTGGTCATCAGCGCAACCTCAAGCCACCAGCTCGAGGGAGTCGAGACGGGCAGAGAGGAAACAACTCGGCATGTGTGACTAGCTCCTTCCCTATAGAGATGGCATGGGCGCAGCTTCTGCAATTGTTTGCTGCAGTAAACAGAGCGCGCCTTCCCCGCGAATTGACGTACCGCGGCTCCACGCGGCTTAAACACCACCGAGGCTCCTTCAGACTCCCTTCCGCAGTTCCACAAACAAGGTACTTTTGTAGCTGTTCAATCGATACTTTTTGCTCCATAACCTCTCCCCGTGAACATGCGTGCCTTCAAAAAGTCTTCTCACCTCTCCCGCCAGCTCTTCGCTACTAATGGCGTCCGCTACAACTCCACTATTGCGCCAGCTTCCAAGCCGCTCACCTCTGTGCTTATAGCAAACCGCGGAGAAATCGCCTTGTGAGGCTTCTGCTGAGACACGAAAGACTTGGAACTAACATGGGTTCTAGGCGAGTTGGAAGAACAGCCTCGGAATACGGTATCCGAACTACGACGCTCTTCACAGACCCAGATGCTCGATCACAACACGCACTGAGCTCGCCGTACGCCGTAAACCTCGGAGATCCTTCGGCATATCTCGATGGAGATAGAATAATACAAATCGCCAAGGAGCAAGGCTGTCAGGGCATTCATCCGGGCTACGGCTTTGTACGAGTCTCTGTTTCTGACAACGTAGACTAGAGGCTAATGTAGACGATAGTTGAGCGAGAACCCTACGTTTGCCAGAAAATGCACAGACGCAGGTCTGACATTCATTGGCCCACCATGGCAAGCAATCGAATCCATGGGAAGCAAGAGGCAGGTGACACGCACACACGTTAGACATGGCAACTAACACATGGCAGTGAGTCCAAGGATATCATGACCAAAGCCGGCGTCCCCTGCATCCCAGGCTACCATGGCTCCAACCAAGATCCAGAATACCTCAAAGAGCAGGCAGCGAGCATCGGCTACCCTGTGCTCCTCAAAGCCGTCAAAGGCGGTGGCGGCAAGGGTATGCGCATCGTCAACACCGAGGCTGAGTTCTTCGATCAGCTCGCGTCGGCAAAATCAGAAGCACGGAATTCTTTCGGTGACGAAGTCATGCTGGTGGAGAAATACATTACCACACCTCGCCACATCGAAGTCCAGGTCTTCGCCGATAAACATGGCAACTGTGTTGCGCTGGGTGAGAGAGACTGCAGTATCCAGCGTCGGCATCAGAAGATCCTGGAAGAATCACCCGCACCACACTTAGATGAAGTCATTAGGCAAGATATCTGGGAGAAGGCAAGGCAGGCCGCGCTTGCAGTAGGTTATGAAGGAGCAGGCACAGTCGAATTCATCTTCGACAATGAGACTGGCGAGTTCTTCTTTATGGAGATGAACACAAGACTGCAAGTCGAGCACCCGGTTACAGAGATGGTAACAGGCGAAGACCTCGTGAGGTGGCAGCTCATTGTTGCTGAAGGCGGAAAACTACCCCTCACTCAACAAGAGATTGAACAGAGGATCAAGGAGAGGGGCCACGCCATCGAAGCTCGCATCTACGCTGAGAACCCAGACATGAACTTCATTCCCGACTCCGGACTTTTGTTACATCTGAAGACTCCCGTACCCACTTCCACTGTTCGTATTGACTCTGGCTTCATCGCTGGCGACGAAGTATCCTCGCACTACGACCCCATGATTTCCAAACTTATCGTTCAAGGCCCTACACGTGAGGCTGCAATTCAAAAGATGCGAGCTGCCTTAGAAGAATACGAGGTCGCGGGTCCTATAACAAACATCGAATTCATCAAGCGCATGTGCGTATCACCAGACTTTGTCGCTGGCGAAGTAGAAACAGGATATATTCAGAAGCATCACGCTGAGCTTTTTACGCCTGAGCCCCCGGCAGCAGAAGTCTACGCGCAAGCCGCCTTGGGTCTTGCGCTGCAAGAGATTTCCTCAGCTAGAGGAGATGTATGGACTGGACCGCCAGTAACAGCTGTAGGATTTGGTTTCAGCAGCTCATACCAACAGCGGGAATTCAACCTCATTGAAATCCCCGCCGACGGCAAAGGAGAAGCCAAAGCAACAAAGGTCAGCATCCGGCAAACCAGCCCCCAAAAATTCAACATCAGCGTTGGCGACAAAACATATGCAAATGTCACATCAACCTTCTCCCCCTCCAATAACACATTGACATCTTTCTACCCACACACCCGCCTAGCCACAACCTTCATCCGCGACGAAGACCGCCTCACTCTTTTCCACCTCGGTCGCCAACACCGTCTCAAGCTCGCAATGCCCGAGTGGACGAAGAAGGCGCTTGGCGTCAAGGACGTAGCAAATAGCGTTCTTGCACCCATGCCTTGTAAGGTCCTAAGAGTAGAAGTCGAGGAGGGCCAGGAGGTCAAGAAGGACCAGGCGCTTGTTGTCATCGAGAGCATGAAGATGGAGACTGTAATAAGGAGCCCGAGTCACGGCATCGTTAAGCGGATTGTGCATGGCAAGGGAGATCTATGTAAAGCAGGGACTGCGTTGGTGGAGTTTGAGGAGCCAGATGCAGAGGCGGAGTCCAAGTAAGAATTCTGTCTACACATCTCACACATGTGTGCCATCACGGAAAGGGAAAAAAATTACGAGTTATGATATGTATACTGTTGACCGGAAATTTATTTATAGAATCTGTTTCTGTCTTTAGTGACGTGAACATGAAAAGAGTGTCTGGAAGTAGGTGCTGTATATGCCTACAAGATAGCTTATACCTGGTACCGGCCTGCTCAATAGCATTGATTGTACCTTCTACGCAGCGAGTTGTGTTCAATGAATCATTTCATTGTGAGCGAAACCTTCCATCCAAATACTGTTCGCGGAACACACGGGCGAAGAATGGAGACTATACAGAATATAAAGTAGTAGACAATATGTTTAAACGAGTCTCACTAATGAAATAAATCACAACAATTACAACCCGCAGAACTCCTTCTACGTATCAGTACATTTGCATTAACTAAGAACGATAGAGTATCGGACTCATATCTAAACGTGTTCTTTTACGTACATGTTCCAATGTCTAAGGTCATGATAGATTCCTACGATATACGTTCAAGTCACTATTAGCTGGAAACATGGGTGTCGATGAGGAGAAACACGTAGCAGATGAATTTAGCTCAACACATCCCGAGTAGCATGGTGGCACCATCCATATAGTCGAGTGCTATATAAGCGGTAACACATTTGTTACCTAGCTGGGTAGGTCATATCGCAGTGGCGCAGAGCAAAATTGATATGGCTACTGCAAGTATCTGCCCTTTTAAAGTATTCCTGTTGTATCCATGGGACCGAGATGTCAACTCTGAAAGGCGAGGCTACGCTGAAGCTGAGATGAAGGCGTTGGGAGGACGAGAGAGGTATGCGATGGGTGTTGTTTGTACAATGGGGTGGCGTAACGGGGCAGGTTGGGTGACTTGGCTGGTATGGGTTGTTGTCTAGTAGGTAGATAAGTTGTCTGTAATGACGGTAATGTTTGGAAGGAAAGGATCAAGATAGGCTGGTCGCCCTTGTGGTTCTCCAATACACAACAAATTTACCACTCATATTGGTCGTTAGAACAGCGTTGTGACAAGCCATGGCTAGCCATAGAGGTCGAGAATGGTCGGGAGATATACGTCATGCCGGTCACGGGAAAAAGAGTTCTTTATGTGAGCCCAGTGCTCTTTTACAGGCAAGTTTGTTTTTGCTCATCACCCATCTGACCAAGGCACCGTTGTATGCAGCATCTCAAGACCCCGTGCGGATCAGATGGACATGCACTGGACCTCCGTTCCATTGTCTTACGGTCCGCGATCTGTCATCGATCTTGAGAAGCATTGCATGACTAACTTACTGTAAACCTCCGCGGCCCACAATTTAGTCAAGACCCAACAAGTCTGATCTTCACAAGGTCGTTGACCGGAAAGGGTCGCGGATCCGACTGTCGGCTGCACACATCAGCTGTTCACATCAGTCGGTCCATGACGGGACGATGAGCCCGACCGTATTGACGACAAGGCTTCCCCTCCAGTGTACCGTAATGCAGTCTGTGAGCTCGAAACGCCCAGGACAGTGCCTCCCCCATCTCAGCACTGCAGTAGTTTGTGGCGAGGAAAGTTTCTAACCAGGTCTAGGAACTCTTGTGCCGTATTTGCGGTTTACTGCCCATGTTCAACCTGTGACTGGTGGAATGCGCAAGCTGGGCTTGCCTCAGAGTAAGTTACTTTGGGCCACTGATAATCCCGGTTGTTGGCTGTGCCTTGTTCCCCCCGTCGACCAGGAACATCCTACTAGGACACAGCCAACGAGATGACTGCCAGCTCATCTATGTTCCCCGCACACTTGCGTTTCGCTTCAAGCTTCACTTGTTTTTTAGGCAGTCGTGACGAGCCTGGGTCTCTTTCGGATCAAGGCGGACGGTTAGAGCAACGGCAGGTCGATGCTGATCTTGGGTAGCAATCATGTATACAGTAAGCCGCAGTGTGACGCGTCAGAGGGTGGGCCGATAGGGTAAGAGTGTTGAGATCTTATGGAGACTGCAGTGTATTTTGGGCTTTGGCTGTTCCGACGGTGGGGAACGATGAGGAGATGGTATGGACCAGCAAAGGTTGTCAAGCTCCTAAGATGCTTGAGAACGGCAACGGTGTTCCCACCAAAGTGAGGCGGTCACTGATGACTGTTCTCTTGACTTATCAGTGAGAATGCAGTAAGCGGACCGAGCACCTCGAAACGTTCATGCAGCGCGACGCGGGTGCTCCAAGCCGGGCATTTCTCCGTTGCGCATGTCAAAGAGTGTGTCTTGGGTGTGGTTGTCATTGAAATTGTTCCCGGCGGCACGCGTGTGCTGCGTAATATGAATAGAAGAATCCTGATCTCAAGCCTGATGCGCTCCCACCAACAACATCCAAGAATATTCTTGCTGCTTGTTTGAAATTGGCCATGACATCTTTGACTGGCCAGATACTCCCAGCGCGACAGCCGGATCATGATTGCCAAGTCGTACGATAAGATTGAAACAAGTCGAGGGAGCCCAGCCTCCCAGATCCTAGATGAAATACAAGGCCGTTGGCAAGATGTTAGTCCCGATCGTTTGAGTTTGAAGGCGTCCGGCTGTCAATGCGGGACGCGACTGTGAAACACCAGTTTGAGCATCTTCTCGAACATGTCAACGTTTCATGAAACCTCGGTATATTCGAAGCAAAAACTGCGTCGCATATACTCACGACTATGCGCATTGCACCGGCACATATGCCTCTGCATATTCCGAGAGTACATGAGTATCATTCTTGCGTTGTGGTCCCAAAGCTATTTTTGAGTGTGGGATTTCTGTGTAAGTTTCGGGGCCGCTGTGCTAGGCTCGAGGTCGTGAAACCTCATCTTCGGGGTCAATTTGCGGTTGCACGCTACACGTGGTGCATGGGGATGTAGTTCCGGTTTTCGTTTGTGGTTGCATCCAGTGGTCTGGAAATGGAATGCGCGACAAGGAGATGAGCATACGATTGACGTGAAGGAAATGCAAAAAGAGGTTGGCTCTGACGCTTTGTTCACTTTACATGTGTAAGACGAGCTCTTTTGAGAGCATCGCAGATCGTGATCCGTTGGTACCCCCATCAGCACGCGGTAATGCCGAAATGAGATGACGAAGGCCCTGCAGTGCAGCTTGAGATGACAATACGGGAGACAGTGCGCATGAACAGAGCAAACGTACGCACGATCGCAAGGCTGTTGTGTCGAAGTCCTTGACTCGTGTTTTGGAAAAAGCATGGAGCATTGGGCGAGCAAAATGGTGATGCAGCCTTCTAGAAGGACGCTAGAAGGACGCTAAGATCGTGAAACACACGTCGGAGCCAATCACAAGTACCACCTTGGTAGGAGCACGTACTCAGCTCTAGTCAAGCAAGCCTCAAAGTTATTTTTTCTGCAGCGTAAGGCAGACCACTGCATCTGACAGACGGGCCGATTTTACTTGGTCCCAATCTCCAGCGCAACGGCATTCATGCACGGCTCTATCTAGGACTAGATATGGATGCGTGTACTGGTGCTTTGGGAGGCAATTTCTCGACCAGCATGTCGACTAACAACTCGTGTTTGGTGAAGTGTGTCGGTGTCCAGTGGTAGTGAACCAAGACGATCTAGGAGAAGTCGAACTTGTGGTCGAGCGCATTTGAGCCGAGATAGAGCCAGCAGTATGCATCTGGATCAGGATATCAGCAGCCGGCTATGGAGAATTCCACCGAGAAGGCGATCTCCTGACACATTGCCAAGTTTATATCAGGAAAACGCGATCGTGGGTCGCATAGGTAGATAGGCCATGTAGGCAAGGGTCACGCGTCTTAGAAAGAACGTGTCATGTTATCGGAGATCTGTGTGGATTACGACTCAAAAATTATAGGTGGGCATTCGAGCTACACAATGTGTCGACATGCCAGTGCTTGGAGGGATACGGTGCGCTGGTGTGGCGCGTCTTTGTGTATTGAAGGGGCTGGGTCTAGACGGCTGACAAGCCGAGACGGGCCAATTCGTCAAGCAGCTTGGTGCAGTACATCGGGAGCTAGCGCTGACCGACATCATGGAAAGCAGCGGCTAACGTGCTGCTGCACCCATCAGCCCATGTCGAATCCTTTCCACAAGTGTCCGCTCGAATCAGTGCATCCGTCAAAAGCCTGGTGAGAACAGGGAAAGTACGGGAGACCGGCCGGACCTTGTCGCAGCTCGATGATATCGACGGGGGTGGCACGGGTCACTCCGTCTCATGATAAAAGCCGGCAGAAGGAGAGTGCTCCTTGAACCAATCACGAGAAAGCTGTCGCTGTCAGAAATGCCGCTTATGCAGTAACGTTCGCAACTGAGTGCTCGGCTGGAATAATGGCGATTTCAAAGCAGAGGACGAGAAGGTCTAGTCCTTCGATCACAATTTGCGAAACGAGTGGCACTGCGGCAACTTGGGCGCGTACTCATTCGTGTTCGGTACAATGCATCCCTCGTGCCCACTGAAGTGATACCCCGGAAAACAAATGTCGGAACCACACCCAAGAGGCACAGCGACCCTCGAGGGCGGGAAGCAAGGTCGAGGGGACCTGGGGATCTGCCAACCGGGTGGACAACTGGAGCTTGCATCCCCAGCACCAAGATCTTATCGTACAATCTGATAGATAGTGATCGGGTTGCACTTCTGGGCGTGATTGATATCTGCCGATAGAGTTGCAATAAGAAATGGAGGCCTAGGCCTTTAATAGCTGCCTAACCTATTTCACACGACAGCTGCCGCGAGCGGAGAAAACTTGCAATGTAAAAATGCTCGTTGTGATGGGGCTCACCTGCCGATCGCTGCCCGGTCAGTCGATAAGCAGTGAAGCTTCGGTAGATGGACTTGAAGCCTGCGGCCTATCTTCGCATATCGTGGAAGATGTATGCAGCCTTAATCTTGGGCGCAAGGTGACGAGTCGGGGACATGCGGAAGTCTCAGCGGTGGTGGTGGCGTGCCGCAGTTTCCATTCTGCAGTGGGCGAAAGACTTACGGGACGAGTCGGATCCATGTACGGTAGCGTCGCGCACCTTGTCCCTTGTGATCGTCGACCGTTGTTGCCCAGGCATGTATCCCTGCTTCCCGCGAGTGGACAACGGTGTGCGGAATGTGGTTGGCTACGACGATCACCTGTCAACCAAATAACCGCACGCGAAGGCGACAACCATGACAATCTCGCGGAATCGAGTGTGTTTAACCTTTAACGGTTATCATGGAAGCGACTGCATGGACGGAGATGGAGGCTGTTGTAGGACCTGGCGACAAGCGAAGCGCGAGAATCTTAACGAGCCACCCCAGCTGACCTTGATCGATATGCACGTCGCCGTCAGCCGTATTTGCACAACGTTCGTGGAGACACACAGCTAATCATTGCGTGTGGAGTTACAAGACCAACCCGATGTAACACAGCATGATTTTTTTTTTTGCTGACAAGATCGACATGTCTACCCATATCTCGTGTGACTAGTACAAGCGTGGCCAACCGTCAATGCGTGAAGGGGCGCCGCCTGGGCGTGTTCAGGAAGAGTTCGGCTTGCACAAAGTTGACAGTCAACAATCTGGACTGCCGAATATGCAATAGATGCGCGTGCTGATGATATAACTGAGAATTTGCGCGTGTTTGCAGCGCGCAGCGCGCGTCACAAGTACAAACATTATGTGTTGTGTTGTATCGAGATGTAGCGGGCGGCGTCAGAATAGAGTTGATGGTCGCTCGGTACCTGACCTATCTCCCTTGTCGTGAGCAAGGCCAGCAAGCGTGCTCCCAGGGTTTCTCCGCAATGCGAACGCCTCGCTCGGAACTTTTACAAGCCCAGGTCCCATGCCACGATCATGACAGGGAGCGGATTGCTCGCAACATGGAACTGCGCGATGTTTCCGTCACGATCTTCTCGAAGCCTGCCAGCCAGATTTCAAGGGCAAGAGGATTTATGATGGTCGCGTCTCGCGTTTCAGTAAGCATATGATACTCGAGCAGACGCGCACAGAAGCAGGCTTGACACGTCCAAGAAGGGAACGGCATTACAGCATTGTATTGACGCCGGACGCGATGGAGTAAATGCACCGAGACGTGCTCTTCTGGCCGGCTCGGGCGCATCTGCAGACATGTATTGCTATCGCGATCGCCTAAGCGGTTATTCGCCGGGATGTTGTAGCGGAGTTTATCGACGCGTGTTGCTCGCGCTCAGCATGAGGGCAATTTAACTTGGAATAGCCAGGCAGGCAATTCTTTCCCAGGGCTGACTGGCGCGGTCCACGGCGCATGAAGATGGCCCTGCCACGATGCGCCCCTGAGGGAGCATCAGCAGTTTTGTTCGGTGGCATGGCTCCGCATAGAGGTTGTGAACCCGACGTCCCAGGGCCGATCAGCGGCGATTTGAGCAGGCAGCCCATGACCCGTCTCCCGAGAAGCATGGCCGTGAGCAGGTTCAGGCATGGCGGTGCCGATCAGCGCTCGATGGCAATTGGTGCATGCGGGCGTGCATCGGCCAGTCACAGCGGGCGACGTTGGGAGACAAAGAAGACATGCTGGTGAGCCGTTTTGGGCGTCCTCTGACCGGCGCCACTGTCCAATGGCGCGCGAGATGGTGGGGCGCTGGGCTGGGTGGTGCAACTGCTAAAACGGTCGACTAGCGGCGGTGAATTGGACTCGAGGGACGCGTCAGAGCAGAAGCGGGCGGAGCACATTGTGATCAGGGCGAAATGAAGAGAGCAGGAACAGCAGGTGGCATGGAGCGCGCAGCTATAGCAGTCTGGGCTAGGATGCCATGGGTGGGTGGGAGGTACCGCGGGGTCGCGACTGCCCATCTCGAGGATTTAGCCGAGCGAGGCAGGGGCGAGATGGCACTTGGAGAGCAGGCGCGATGACGCTGCGTCGTCGAGCAAGAATCAAATAGTGAGAGCAGACAGCAGACACTAGGCGGGCGCTCTTGCCTGCCAGTAAAGCGACTGTGAATCGTCGACTCACCGCCGCCCCCCACCGTCGTGACAACTGGAAAGACTCGACCCGGCCAGCCAGAAAACTCGGCGTCACGTGCTCCACCGGACGCGACTGCGGGCATCAAGACGACACGGCACCTCGATCAAACAACAGCTTCATCCTCGTAGCAGCACCCACCAGCACGACGACATCGACCAGGGTGATTCCGCCGGCGATCCCTGATCCCGGCCCTTTCACATCCGCGGCTTGGGCGCTCGAAACAGCTGCTCCGTCCGAGCGTGCAGCAGAGCAGGGAGGTGGCTGTTCCAGGTTGATTTAACGACCGACTCCACCCTCGGCCCTCCCACCGCCTTTGCAGTCTTTCCTCGCTGCCATTCCCTACAAGTCGCTAGCGCCACCTGCTCTGCGCGTGAAATTGCGCAGGCCACGCTACTGCATCGCTCTCCAACCCTCGTCCACCGCTGCGCCCGGACCCTCGCTGCCCGGATCCTTCGACGTCTACCACCGCGCAATAATAACAATGTCGCAGCCAAAAATCCCAGATAGGGCCCGCAAGTATAAGGAAGACCCGGCGCCTGTAGCGTCGCAGAAGATGGTGAGTTGACTCTGCTTCCTTGCACCCCCTACCTCACGCCCGACCACAACGTGCATCATCCCACACACGCTCGTTACCCTCCCTTCTGCCTTCGTTCGGCCCTGCCGCACCCTCGACCGTTGGAGTTTCGAGCTGCGCGTCGCAAGTCCCCTTCCCTAAAACCGTCACCGCCGCTCGTAGCTTCATCCTCGCGCTTTTTGCATGCTGCAGCAGCCACTGCACATCGCGACCACACACAACAAGTTACCCCAGCTCCGGCACGTTACTGCCTACATGGTATGCCCTTCCCGCCAAGCAGCCCTGCTACCCAAACCCCCCTCCCCTGTCGCACTTGCCAAAGCTTTCCTTGCCTCCTCTGAAGCCCGTCCCAAGCCTCTTGTCACGCAAGCTACCAGCAGCGGAATCCCTGCCATCCCAGCAGCCTTCCGCTCCCACCGCTGGTCCGCTCTGTGTTGTCAACGTTGCCAAATGCCGCCCTGCTTTCTTTAGTCTGCCTTTCCCATCCTATAAACTATACCCTACCTTCCTGTCTTTTTCCAGACCCTGCCCCTCGCCTACGATCTGTTGCAGCACATCGTCGCTACACCCTAGCCGCCCAGCCAACCAGAGCGACCCGCACCCCCACTACTACACCTTGCCTGCCCTCCCTGCCCCGATCACCACCACAGCTGCACCATCTCGAGGCTTGCTTTTTTATCTTTCTTTCTTTGCCCAATCAGCCTTACTGACTGGCTGCTCTTCTTAGCATCATCCCCACTCGGCGCAGGGCTTGCCACCGCCAAATCATCTTCCAGTCCACCATCCTAGGCCTGGTGTAGTCCATCAACAACATCAACACCAGCACCATCCCGACTCTCCCCACCAGTCGGTACCTTCACAGAGTCCGGCACAGGGCCACTACCCATCGCCCCAACACCCAAACCCTCAAGGGCCTCCTCAGCACCAGTCTCCCTACATCCAGCAAATCCAAGGTCCCCCACCGCCTCAACAGCAACAAGAGGTTCCTTATTACTCTCAGCACCACCAGAGTCCCTACAGCACTAACAGTGCACCGAGTAACTACTCGTCCTCAGGTAAGTTTTGTTTTTTTCGTACACAAATCACGACGCGTCTGTCCATGCGCTGTGCGCATTAATGACGTCTCGACTTGGATGCCCCAGTCGTATATCCCGTCAAGCGGAAAATGGAAATCTAACTTTCCCAGAAACCCCAGAGCTCATGGCAGCCGCAACGATGAATCGCGGTGGATATCCACCCATCTCGTACCACACCCCGCAGTCAAACTCACCAGCATCTGTTCAGTCTCCACAGCACGACCAGCACGGCCGCCCAATCTATGGACAACCGCCTAGCCAGATGCCTCAGTCAATGTACTACACGCCATATGCTTCGGCCCCAGTACCTCAACAGTCGCCTTACCAGCAGCACCCTTCAAGTGCGCCTCAGCAACCAATGGCGTCGCAAACACTGCTCATGTCCCACCAGCAGAACCAGCAGATGCATCACCAGCAACAGCAGCATCCTCAGACTCCTGGAATGACTGGAAGTCCAAAGTCGCGAATGTCGCAGACCCCATTGCAGCGACCACCATCAGGGCTTGGCCCGCCACAGGCCCCGCCTCAAGGTCCTCCCGTCGGTACTCCCAACATGCACGCTGGCCCTCCCGGAGGACCCAATGTTAACCCTAATGCTGCGCCTGGTCCCATTCCTGCCACTACTCCGCTTGTTGTGCGACAAGACCAGAACGGTGTACAATGGATCGCGTTTGAGTATTCCCGCGACAGAGTTAAGATGGAGTACACCATTCGTTGCGACGTAGAGTCTATCAACGTTGACGAGCTCCCGCAAGACTTCAAGACTGAGAACTGTGTATACCCGCGCGCTTGCTGCGCCAAAGATCAGTACAAGGGCAACCGCCTTCATTACGAGACTGAGTGCAACACCGTGGGTTGGGCACTAGCGCAACTGAACCCATGCTTGCGCGGTAAGCGTGGTCTTATCCAGCGAGCCGTCGACAGCTGGAGGAACAGCAACCAAGATCCTCGATTGAGGAGCCGGCGTGTACGAAGAATGGCCAAGATGACCACGAGGAAAGCCCAATCGGCTTCACATGGTAACCACATGGCTGGACCAGGTGGACCAGGTGCTCCTGGTGTTCCAAACTCTGCCGGATTAGCAGCACCACCCCGACAACCGAACATGGGCATGGGCGGTCCCCAGATGCATCATCACCATGACGGACCTGGAGGGCCCCACGGAGGACCGGATGATGTTAGCGGTATGTTTCACCAGATGTGATGTGATAAAGCGCGATTGTTGGCCTGTTAAATGATACCTCTTGTCGTTCTTTCTACATGTACATTACACACTCCTTGATGTAATACCCCCTTCGATACCACTGCCCATGCATGTTTGCAGATATACCCACACTCTATAGTTACACATTTGGTTCAGCGCAGGATGGCAAGTCGAGTCATGTTCGGACGTGCAAGCTAACTTTCTTTGTGTACAGCCAATGACTACGGTGAATCGCACACTCATCATCACCAAGCGCCAAACGGGCAACAGTCACCTACCGACGGGCGTCCCGCTCAGAGCTTTTACCCGAATTTCCCATCGAGCGACTCCGTGGCAGGATCCAGTGGCATGCCGCCGATCCACGACGGATTGAGCCATCCTCCGCCTCCATCACACGCAGCAGGCGTACCCGTCTCAAAGCAGCAAGAGCAAGACGAAGAAGAGCGAAAGCTAGCCATGTTCGGTGACTTACCTGACTCGAAGCGCCGCAAGTTCATTCTTGTAGACGACGCGCAACGAGGAACTAGGGTTCGTGTGCGAGTTACTCTCGACACTGTCAAGATGGAGGAGATGCCCGACTCTTATCGCAAGTCAAACTCAGTCTTCCCTCGCAGCTACTTTGCTATGCAAATGACTTCTCCACCTGCCAGCCCTCGTGGCAGCAAGGTCTTCGCTGATGAACCCGATGTGGAAAGCGATCCCAGCTTTCCTCTCGCTGGTTCTACTGTTGTTCCTGTCCCAACGCTCGATGGCGAGACTCGTGTACCGAAGCCGCGTCTCACTAGGGCGAAGCGGTCGAAGGAGATTACGCTCAACGATCTTGGTTACCGCATGAGTTGGAGCCAGAGCCGTGTCTTCGCAGGCAGGACATTGTTTCTGCAAAAGTCTCGTAAGCGAATGCCTTTGGCACAATCAATAGCAACCGACTAACCTTCAACAGTTGATGCCTACCGCAACAAGATGCGAAGCAGCATGATGGGCCAAGGCCAAGATGTTACCCAAGTAGCGCCACATTTCGAGACTCGTGTCGGAAAGAGGCGGTGGAACGAAAGAATCGAGAAGAGCAAGAAGGCGAGGCGCGATGGCTCTCCTTAAGAAGTCCCAGGCCACATGCTCCAAACGGATGCCCTGGTTGCAGGCAGCCGCCCCGTTGACCCACTTTCTCGGCACTTGCAGGGAGCCCCTACGAACGACCGGGGTCAACAACCCTTTTTCGACACAGTACCAAATCCTTCGCAACAGGCCCGGCTGTTGCTTACACCCATGTTTCATCATGGCTGTATTGGGTTTCAGGTTGTCGTCGTCCATCTGCCGATGACTGTTTCTCTCTTTTCGATACATCTCGACCACGCACCGCCGTCTAGAGCACTCGAGTAGTGCCTTTGATACCCGTCTGCAAGTTATGATCTCTTGCGACATGCTCGGTCGGTTTTCGGTCTGTCTTTTCCTCTCTGTTTATAGCCTGTTGATCGGTAAGCTTTTGTATGAACGGTTTCAGGCGCTTGTGGTAAAAAGAGACATGGAAGCATTTGAAAAGCATGACTCTGGACGCTGTTTATGGCATGAGAAAGGAGTCTTGTTGGTTATGATTGTGTCTTCGGAATATGTTTATATTGCGCTTGCTTTGTCAGTATTTGGTAGATGGGCTAGCCGTTGCTACCCTGGACGTATAATAGACACTTCAAAAACAAACATACGCAGCCTGTGATTAAGTGACTTTGGTGGGATTGTGTTCCATAGCCCGGTAAAACTTGAAATTTAATTACCCATCGTGCAACGGGCGTCGTGTATCAAGATTTCCGGAGCATCCATCCCAAATCCAGACACCCAAGCAATTCGCCTGCGATCCTTCCAAAGCACCGAGCGCAAAAGAGCACCCACACGAACGGTCCGTCAACCACTCACGATCAAGTTACAGCGGCACGGCACGCAAGCCCTTCCATGCAATGGTCAACGTGATATTGCCCGAGATAGAAAAAAATTATGAATGTGTCGTTCGATGTGGTTCACTTGTCAAGGGGGTATCCCTCCCCCAGACGTTCGCAAATGCGGCAGGCGGACAGTGACAAGCCGGGAGAGCCTGGTCTCGCGTGGCTGAATACCACTCATGTCGACGCGTTATGTGCCTGGTACCTGACTACTGCCGTTGTAAGAACATGGGTTTATTGCTTTTCGAGTGGGTAAGGGTGTGGGTAAGGAGGGTGCAGGGCCCGAGTGTCAAGATCAGGGACGCAGCGCAATGTTGTGCAACGCGACGGCGTTGGGTGTGGTAGTATAGGCTGATTGTGGATTGGTTTGGTGGTAGCGGACGTTGGCGTTGGCGTCAACTGGTTGGGGTCCACAAACTGTTGTGGCACGCGAGACGAGGTACGCGCGGAAAGCCAAACCGAACTCGTAAATCGGTGCTAGTCTGACAGAAACCCCCCTAGAGCTGAAAAATATTCCCCGAAGTTGCAGCGATGGAGCTTGGAGGGTAAGATGACAGCATGCGGGATTAGCCTAGTTGCTTTGACAAAACTAATACAGACCTCGTGGGCATGAGAATGACATGTATCCCATCCCTTCGCGCTGACTCCCAAGGGTTTTTGGCGTCGTGTGAAACATGTCATCCTCTGTCTTAAATTCCGTCTTCTCTACGTATAAGTCTTTTTCCTTCGGCAACTTCCACCGTCGTTGCATATCGAGGTAGCATTCTCATGCATCGAGCGATTCCGCGGCCCCGACACCACCACACCACACCGCACCAAACCAAGAGAAGAACCGAACTCCCAAGATCTCTAGCTAACTAACCAACCCAAACCTAATACTACTACTAGCTCCTTCGGACAATCAAAGTCAGCCAGTCACAGTACTAAAGCCACAAGATCACGCTAACACACTGGTTTGTTAACGTCCGGCGAGAACATCACAGGCCGTTGGCACTTAGCACCGCACCGTTGAAATCACTATTCTTGTTTCCAGTTTTAGCTCGTCTTTGCACTTTTAACGTGACTAACCACTTTGTTCTTTATGCGCGTCAAGCCGTTGACGAGGCTGGTGTGGTTGGTTCGTGAGCTAAGAGCTAGTTGGTCTTATCAGGTTATTGCGGGGCGCAAGCTTCGTCTACCAGAAGAGGAACGTTCTCGACCTGACGAGAGATGAAGATTGCCGCCCCATTTCCCAAACCTTGCGTACTAGATATGTGGGAAGCAGGTAATATTAGTAAAACTAAAACCGAGAGCTGCGGGGTGTTTGCAGGATGCGAACACGACGTCACACAGGGCACGCGACAGGATATGCTTTCGAGTTCGGCGCCTAGTCGTAGCCGTCAAGTGCTTAAAGGCCGAGGAAGTGGAGAAGAGATACATGAATGGCTACCGAATTAGTATGTTACCCCGACTCCGATGTTTACGCGCGTTACAGCTTATGATCGGCTTCTTGTAAGGAGATAAGGATTTTCGATTCTTAGACCAACAGTAAGATTCCAAATAGGCACAGATCGTACGTCGACTCTGTAGATGTAAGCAAAGAATGCAGTGTTCAAGTCTCTCGTCCTGTGCATAATGTCCTTGCGAAACTAGAATAAATTCAACGCTAACCTAGATTCCTCCCATATGCCCCCCTGTCATTCACTTACCCCACTGTACAGGACTGTGCTATGGTATCTCAGTCGCGCTCACTACACGTGCGCGATTGCCACCGCCCATCTTTCTTGATTTCATAAGATTCTGCCTGTCCTGCTCTTGCGTCAGTCTCAATCTTTCCAAGTCTGCCTCATGCACAATCAACCCATCGATGATGCTGTACTTACTGATATCCGGGTCATCGTCATCGTCGTCTTCATCTTGTACTAACGGACGATTAGGGCGCAACTTGGCGAGGTTCCTATCGCCGTTGATACGAGAGTGAGTCCACGAGTTCCATCCCGCGCCGTGCTTTGTGCTTTGTACCGCTAAAGTGCTCTCAATATCTGAAAGGTCGGCCAGCATCCCCACATTCTCTGCAGTGATGCCTTGGTCTTCTGTGTCGTTAGGAGCGGGTGTGATGGACATGCTCCTCATGCTGCCTCTGACTTGCTCAACTACGCCAGTCTCAGGCGCTTCGTATCCATTTGCTTCGTCAACAGCGATGTCGTTACGAATTCTCAATTCGGTTTCGCTGAGTTGGGATATCTTCGCTGAGGCGTCAAGTTTGGCTTTGCGAGGGGACCGTGAGACTGGCACTGCTCGTGTCGTGGCTATGGGCTTCGTCGGCTTCTTTAACGCAGGTGTCGGTGCGGTTGGTGGAGACAACTGAGATTTCATGATAGTTGCGTGTTGTGGTTGATTTGGCAACGAGAGTGCTGCTTGATTGTCGACTTCAGATTTCGGTCTTGATGTAGGCTGGAAGCCGTACCCGTTCTTACCTTTGCTGAACACGCTTTTTGAGGCTATGGCCGGCGGCGGTGATGGAGGAAACTTGGTCTTCTTTGTCACTGGACCAAATTTCTTCGCATTACCCTTCACGCTCTTGCACAACTTTTCTATAGTAATGGGAGACCTAGGCTCATCGTCTTCAGATGGCGGAGTATAGTCACTCTCATCGCTACTTACGTCGATTGCCTTTCGTTTTCGTCTACCCGAGCGCAAAGATGAGACAGAAGTTCGAGGTGTAGCTGATAAGTCACATTGACTCTGTGTTGTGCTGGAGGCACGATACGTTGAAGCTGAAGCTTGTGAGCCAGCACGCACATTTCTAGCAGCCGGCATGCTGTCCTTCGTGACGCTGGCTGGAAAGTCAGGTCTTCTGAAGCTTGTGTTCTTAGGAGCCATGGAACTTTGAGGTAGTGCGTCAGAAGTGTGAGAGGACCGTCCAAGTGGTGGAGGCATATTGGGGATGTACTGTTGTGGTCTTGGTGAAGCTATGCGATCATCAGCTACAGAATGAGACGTGGGGCAAAGTAAAACTTACTTTGGGGAGGTTCATGCATCAACTTATCTTCAGCACTTGGTTCCAGTGGCTCGGAAATAGGCTTGTCCTTGTGCTCCTCTTGCTGATGTGCATCTGAGCCCTTCAATGTGTCGGCTTCATCCAGCGGAAGCCTATGGAATGCCGACTTTTGAGGCATCAGTGGCTGGCCTTGTCTGTAGTCCACGCTTTTCTGCAATTGCAAACTGCCGGACTGATGATGTAGAGGAGGTCTTGATGGAGCCAAGCCGCTCGACAATTGTACGCCCTCTGAAGCAGAAACCGTGGGAGTAGCCCATGTAGAAACGGCTGGAAGTTTACATGCAGAAGTGCTATCCAAAATTCCCGAGGCTGAAGCTCCGAATGTCCAAGCACTGCCTTGAAGAGGCTTTTGCGTCTGAGTAGCTGGCATGTGTAACGCATTCGCTGAAACCCAACGACCAAAGCCACCCCCTTTAGGTATTGAGCTGTGCTCTGTCGAAAGAGCAGCGGTCGAAGCATCATGTGAAGCAATGGGCGAGGGGTTAACTAGAGTTGAGGGCTGAGGAATGGAGAGATCTTGTTCGCGCTTGATTAGCGATGGCTCTGGCGTGCCCTTGACAGATTAGTATTGTTCTTAAATGTCTTCGCTATTTGCCAAGTTACCTGTTTTGCGCTTTTTCCAAATAACGCGAGACTCGCAGACGGAATAGCATGCTCTCGCGTTATAGCTGTCTCCACAATATCGCCCTTCTGGGATGCCAATATCGAATCTTTCGCAATTGCTGGTAGGGCTAGCTTAGTCTGTTCCTTTGCTGGTTCATCTTCATCTGAACAAAGATCAATGATTGTGACTGCAGCACTTCTCTTCTTGCTTTGACGTGCTTGAGTCTTTGTGTTGTATGATGGCGTAGGTGTAGAAGTCTGAGGCGCTCTTGAGGTCACCGCTTGCGTCCGTTTGGGTTCAGGAGCAGCCTTTCGAGTTGGTGGTGCAGCTTCCTGACGATTGTCTCGACCTTGAGTCCCCGTCTTAGACGCTGCAGACCTTTTTGCACTCTTGCTCTTGTCTATACTTGCCGCCGGCGCCTTAGTCCAAAATTCTTCTTCCTCCTTCTTGTGTTTGGCAAAAAGGTCCGCTTCTGCCTTGTTTATATTCTGTTGGACTCTCTCGTACGCTTGCTTAGACTTTTGTTGGAAATCATATATTTCGGCATAGTGTTTTTGTCGAAGGGCGAACCACAGTTCCTCTGATGGCTCGACATTGGTCTGTATCGGTGGCATGCTGAGAGCTTTACTACGTCGTAACTGAGGTAGAGATGCTCGGTAAAGGTGAGGGAGGAGATTTTGTCACACCCAGAACATGATATCTAACTAGAGTGGTGATATTTCGAGTGGGGTGAAGACGAGGTGAAGGTGAGTAAGGTATTTGCACTTTTGAAATGAAAGGCAGGTAAAGGCAGAACTTGTAGTGAGCATAGATTGAAAAATGCGCAGGTAAAGGTCAGACAGGTTCTCTGTTCATTCAGGTATAGTGTATTGAGGAAAAATAAACAGACTGAGACACAAACAACAAGCAACCGCCATTCCTCAAGCCGTTATCCGCAGCCGAGGGTGCGATGTAGAAAGAGAGCTCTTTCGCGATATAAACTTGATCGTGAACTGCTGAACACATTGTGTGTGTGTATACCCCGACGCCCAGTTCTGTGACATGAATCATCTGATTCTCCACGAAAACGATCCAGATATGTCTTTGTAGCTCTGCATGTAGGCACTATTTATGTGCTCGCATGCCTGTTACGTAGACCTCCAGCTGGGTCGATCTATTGTGCCTTGTACGTCATTGTCTCAGATCAGATATGCTTCGCAGCGCAGCATTTCTGATCTGAGACATTTGAGCATCAGGCTCAAGAAGATGGCTCGCGTTACCTCTGTTGAAAGCTATCGGGGTCGCGGCAGTTGGAGCTTGCGTTGGCGCCATCCGCTTTGTCTCGAAATAAAAGCCGAGCCCAATGGTTGTCTCCAAACTTGAGTTGGTAATTTGGCGTTGCCTCGTATTCCTTCATAGATACTTCTTCGCCGCTGTCGCAACCCTCTGCCTGAATACTGGACTCTTGATGACCTCCCCATTGCCGACGGCAAAGAAGGGGTTCATGATAGTCTTGACCCACGCCTCATATACGTCGACCATGAAGTTCTTGACGGCCTCTTCTGTGGCTGGACTACTAGGATTGTACAGACCAGCGCCTCCTCCCAGTGCAGCCCTTCCGCCTGCAAGACTCCCTCTGGCGCCTCCAGCACCTCCGCTGGTCAGTCCTAGACTTTCATCCCGTGGCCGTGTAAGCAGAAGGAAGCGCGTGTTGCCGCCGGTGATCCAACACGACACAAAGCAGTTCTGATATTTGTCGATGTGTTTGAGGTACATGGGTGCTGAGCCGCTGGAGGTAGAAGGACCCCATTGCACTTCTTCGACGATGTCTAGTGACGAGTGTAGGATGAAGGGAACGAGAGCGCGCTCAGCAGGTGTGTAGTTCGCAACGCCAGTGCCGCCACTGCGTGAGGTGCCGAAGTCGTGCGTGAACAGAGGGACATCGAGGGGCGACAGGATGGAGAATGTGTACGACATGGTGTGGTGTTAGCCGACGATGGGTGACTCAATCGTCGATGGTCTTGTTGGCTCCTACGAACGTCCAGGAAGAAGTCACGGGAAGTCGTGGTTTGTATGCAACGTGTGGGGTGTTGATGAGCTTCCCCACGCTAATCGGCATATCCGCCAAGAAAGTCCGCGGGAGTGTCTTTGGGAGAAATATCGCGACTTCAATTGCGGCCGTCCAGCACCGCCAACCACAACACATCACCATGTTTGGTCCTTTTCGCCTCACAAACCCGCTATCGGGCGGCCTGTTATGGTGCGACTCCCTATATTTTTCTGCATACCCACTCGCGCAGTTGCTCGTTTTCGCCCTCACGTTTTCAGTGCTGACAAAACTACAGGAAGATACCATGGCGCCTCTCCAGACACCAGAAGTACAGACATCGCGAGCGTTTACGACACGTCGACTCCGTGGTCGGCACACTCGATACCGCACTACGACGTATGGGGCAGAGCATGAAGAAGGTGGAACGCTGGAAGATGGAGATGCCGACTGAGCAGGAGATGCTGCCCAAGGATAAATATACCGTCTTCGACCGCAAAGTGAAGAGGTATCGAAAGGGAATCCACAGTAAGTCGCATACTGTCAGCGCAAAGGCCGTACGAAAATCTGGCATCGGTATGGTAGCTGACATTTCGCAGAGGTGCCAAAGTGGACAAGGGTCAGTCAACGACTCAATCCTCCGGGTTTTTAGACGGACCCTACAGCGAGCGACGGTTGCGCATGTGTATACCATGTATTATCATACAATTTGCATCAGATACGGCGCCATGGAACGAAAGCAACAAATACTCCCCGAATATGCACTGAGAATTGCATGCTCCTTGAGTGCAAACGGGAACTTGCATTGAAATTCGCCGACAGAAGGCTGCTCATTAGAACAATTACCGTGGCTGTCCTCTACTTGGTAGGAAGCTGCGGTGGGGGTTAGCCGTGACGTTCATATTTGACAATCAGCGGGCAAGCAACTGATGCTCTATGCGATAGAATTCCATGACCTCGGCAACGTCAACGACTTGTACATCATTTTGCACATGTATTGCCCATGCACGCTACCGCCAAGGTCCACAGAGACCATCAACCTGCTGAACTGAGACCAGTACACTCTCAGTTATTAAGCGTCATGCTATATAGTACATGTCTTTTTATCCCCAGATAACGATACTTATCAGCCTAAAACAACATTCCGAGTTCATTGGAGTCAAAGCCCATACCCTCGAACCCAAGACCCTGAGCATTCCATCCCATATCAAGAGGCAAGAAGCCATTCCACAAGGCTGCATCATCCGTAGGCGCATTACCCCCACCACCGTGTACTGCAAATTCATTAACGGCCCCTAGATCAGTCCATCCGAAATCTCCCATTTGTTCCGTAAGCGCCGGACTCTCACCCGTGCCATTGCTACTTGCCTGTGGGCTGGCGCCAACGATCGGATGCTGTGGAAAGCCATTCTGATCAACAGGATTACTAGCGATATGCGTGCCAGGGTGGCGGAACGAAGAGCGACTAGCCTTGTCTTTCTTTGGCACTTTTGCCCAGAGCAGTTTGAGGAGCTGAGAGTACCGGGAGCCCGGATGCTGGATACCAGCTCCAACCCCGACAGCGCTACGTTCGAGGCGTGCGACTGTTTCGTTGATCATGGCGCGGATGGCGCGATCTTCATCGGCGCTGATGACGCCTGTACAGCGGGCGCGATAGAGGAAGACACCTGCATATACGAGGTAGAGATAGTACCTCAATGGCATGAAACGCAGCGAACGCTCGGGATCGACAAAGTTGTTCACGGTAGTGAGAATGGCTTTTGCGGCGTCAAGGCCTTCGTAGATGAAACGCGCATCGCCTACTGCGCCTACGTTGTTTACAAACACGCGTTGGGGAACTTGCATACGACCCGTTGTGTTGCTGGCTGGAGCACCGGCTACGGGATCGGTTGATGTAGATGAAGAGGGCAATGCTCGGAGGACGGTGGCCTGGAAGGCAAAGGCGTTGGTGTATAAACGCAGGTAGTCGTACGACATAAGAAGACATGCTTTGAGCGGCGGAGAGCACGTCAGTGTACCCCATACACTCTTCCAGCCGTATATTGCAGAGCGGAAATCATCAATAAACTTGATGTAGCTACCGCTCATCTGCGATCGAAAGCTCGAACTGGGATTCGAGTACAAAGTATCGTGTACATTGCTGAACAGTTGTGTGAGTTCGAGGTTCGCTTGAAAGATGGAAGCATGGTCTTCTTCGTTTGGGCTTTTGGGGATTAGCGACGGATAGTCCTCTCTGCGTAATGTTGTCAAAGGTCCAGGTCCACGGGACCAGAAAGCTTTGCCGATTCTGATGCTGATATGGCGATCTGACACATACGCCGCTGTCCAAATGAGGCGTTTGCGGTGATGGTCTGGATCCTTGCCCTGGTCCACAAAGCGGAACGAGTACCGGTCTAGAGCAAGAAAGTAGGCAATCCTCAGGGCGAGACCAACATGCATCCAGCTCTCTTTATCTTCCTCTCCTTTGCCGACCTTGCCAGAGCCACGCTGTGTATACGGCGCCCACTCAGCTAGCAGAAGTAGGGCCTCTACAGCTTCGATACCCGCATCGCCTCCGGCTGCTAACATTGAGACAAGGCTCTTCATGTGTTCTGAGCAGGCTTCGTAAATGTGTGGTTCGTCTACGAGATCTTTGGAGGCGATAAGCAGGATAGCCGTGAGGAGGTGTTTCTCGTTGTTCACCATGTGTGAGAGATTGGATGTTTCGAATGCGTGCGCCGGTGCAAGCGGGTAATATGGATGGTATTGCTGTTGAAAGCGAACGAGCAGCTGGCATAGAGAGTGAACTGTGAGAATCCCCCGGTCTAGCAACGGGTACGAGAAGGACAGTGGCGCGGGCATGCTGAGAGAGGAGCCTCGCACATGTCCTATGCTGCTGGTGATCCCACTCCCATTATTTTCTTCATTCGAGCTCGACTCTCCAGCAACTCTAGCCAGTATGCCCAGCGCATCTGACGGGTTCTGCAGATTTGAGAACGGAAGCTCATCTGTGTTGGAGGAGTCGGACCGCGATGCTTGTAGCTCTTCACCAAACGGTTGTACGCCTGGGTCTTGCGACCATGTCGTTCCGAGATTGCCCAGCGTATGGAAGCTTCCCTCGGGCGCAGTCGCAGTAAGCGCAGGTAGCGGCTGCTGCGTTTGCGCTTCTGACTGCGATTGTGATTCATCAACGCGTTTCTTCTTTCGCTCGCGCCGCCCACCGCGATTGCTGCCACCAAGCACGCATTCGAGGTTGTCGCGCTTGCATCGAAGGCACGGTATGGAGTTGTCCGAGTCTCTACAAAGCCACGTTAGATTATATGTACACGACACAAGGATTTAGACATGTTCATGCGTCGCATGTCGCGTTCGAATATGCTCACGCGCAGACTTCAGTCTTCAAGCGAGCTCCAAATCGCCGACGCGCGCAGACAAACAAGAAGCCGTCAATCACTTACAGCAAACACCGACTCTTCCGCTTCCTGCAATTCAAACACGCAATTTGTGTCCTTTTGATCTTTGAAGCTTCGTCTTCATCCTGGTTGGCGGCCTGCTTTGCGCCGGCAGGCTGTTGTGGGGCATTTGTTTCCATGCCTCATCTCGAAGCAATGGGTGGTGTCGGTGTTTGAAGCTGTCGGTCGGGAATTGTGGGCACTTGACAAAACGCGGGGGCGGTAACGTTGGCATCGGGTATTGCTTGCGTCGGGCCGAAGACACGAGCGCACTTTTCAAGGTTGTTCCAAGCAGAGTCACAGCAGGAATGTATCATGGCCCGGACGATCCTCAAAGGCGTGGAGGATGGTGATCGTCATAGTATTTGATGTCATTTTGGGGATCTCGTCGGTCGGGTCAAGCTATGGATGGGATTGTGCGGTGCCAGCCCCTGACCCAACCACATCTGCTAAGTGACATGTATTTCCCCACCTCCACCGCAAGATCCTTCAATTTTTGACCCGAACGTCAACATTGACACCATTGATGTTGCGTGAGCATTTGAAGATTTTCGAACCATGCTGCTGTGTGGGACTTTCCAAATCAAGTATATATTGTACAATTTTGTCCTATCATTCATCGAACAGGGCTCGTTGGTGTAGTTGGTTATCACGTCAGTCTAACAGAGCGCTTCATAGCACTCCTTAGTACACTGAAGGTCCGGAGTTCAAACCTCCGATGAGTCATTCATCGGCGTTCGCAAGAGCGCATCTCTCCTTTTTTTACCCTTTGCTGTGCTGCGGACACTTACCAGATTGAGGCAACACCTATCCAATCAAAACCTGAACGTCCGTGATGCTAGTTGCGAGGCGGTGTAGTCTTTTTTGGCCATGTTTGGCCGGTTGCGGGAACGTCACCACCAAGCGTGCTCCAGGGAGACATGAGCAGGAATGACACCCAAGTAGCTTCTGGAAGTCAGGAACTACAAGTTTCGCTGATATGAGGCTATCAAGGGCAAGATTCGCTACATGTGCAACCTTCATGTGGCATATGAGACTTTCGACACAGAAAAGGTTATCATAGGTCGAACGACGGCTTTGCTCAAATCAGCAAACCATGGCTGCGAACTTTGGAGTACTCTGCTAGTCAACACTTGCTGTGCCCGTAGGCAATACTCTCACCACTCAGGCTACATCAATTCTTGTGGAACCAAGCTTTTTGTATCACTGACCATGCTGTAAGTCTGGCTAAGCCCTACGACAGCGGACCACCAACGATTCATGTAACGTCTCCACCCTGGTACCTCTCAGTCAGTGAGATCGTAACACGGATGCACGTCTTGCGCCAGAGCGATTATATGCGGCTCGACGTCACCTAGCCACGTAGAGCTTTGAGCCAAAGCTATGGCTAGGGAGTGCCTGCCAAGCTGCGCTCATGCTCAGCGGGTGCACGCACCTGGTATGACCTTACAACAACATTGTGTACAAATTTCAACCTGTTTGACATACTATCGCCATTGCAATAAAACAAGATGATTTTAGAACGACGTGAAACGGCTTTGGAAGATCTCGTCATCACCAGCTGTTGTGCTCAGCAGAATACCGCTCTACTCTGCTTGGCGCGACAGTACGTGACAGGTCTGTCTCCGGGATACTTGAAAACACCCGGTGGTAATGACTTGGTAGGCGATTAAAGTAAGTAGCTGGGCGAGTAATAAGTCTGCAAGCAATTGCTAATCACTCACGTTCGAGTGGTCACCTACATCGCTGTTGGATGAACTGACTCGTCTACTATCACTGCTTAGTAAATGTACACAGTACCACAGCCTTATAGTCTCCTTGGACCTATCTCAGTCACATTTCGTTGTCAATTTCCCGTATATCTGTATGATCAACATCTTTCTATCAAGGGAAACACGAACTAACCAGCTACTTCAACAAAAGGTACGATTGAGTGAACTTTCAAAAGGGGAAAACTTTTTCAGCGGACCCAAATTGATATTCGGCTGACCCCAAAAAGATCAGATAAAAGCAATCGGCTAAACAGAGATCCAAGATTAGATAGAAGCAACTAGGTACCCAGAATATCACCCCTAGATTATGAGATGAAAGCGAACCGCCACCTAGGATGTACAGGAATCTTCACCTCCCCTAAAAAAGATCAGATAGAAGTAATTATTCACTAAGAAGTCGCCTAATCAGGTAATAATATTTCAAGGTGTCGATAGCTTAGGTGACTTTCTATCTTGTCTAATTTCCTTTTATCTCATCTGATCTTTTTTAGGGTCAGCCGAATATCAATTTGGGTCCGCCGAAAAAGTTTTCCCTTCAAAAATATCAACCCTTCTCTAATACAGCCGACTATAGACCATCATTTCCGACCCTCTACCGCGACTACATCGCTTCATCAAGTTCATCAACTCAGGCAACACAGACATTGGCAAAGAAGTCACATCAGATCCGGCTATCTTCCATGTACCATTCGGTTCTGAACCCCTCAAAGGTTTAGACGGCTATCTCAGAATTCTTGGGATGATGCGTGGCGCATTCCCAGATATCAACTGGACACTACAAGAAACTGTATGCGAAGGTGATAAGATAGATGCACATTTGGAAACCCGGGGCACGCACCAGGGTCCTCTCATGGGTAGCTCCGCATCTGGAAAGGAGATATGTATGAATGCTCTCAACATCTACCGTTTTGAAAATGGTAAGATCGTGGAGGAGAGGGGATAGCCGGACATTTTTGGGTTGATGGTTCAAATCGGCGCTATCCCTGTGCCAGGGCCTTGATATCCTGTATTGAAGTGCTTAGATAAATCATAAATCCACCCATTTCGTTAAGCCTAAAGACATCTTGATTATTTGATACGGGATGCGGTAGTCGTGATGTAGAATACTGTGCTGGAGGCAGAAGCAATATCACGATAGCCACAATATTCAATGGATAGTGGTTAGCATCACGCAGCATGGCGGTATCGTAGTGTGAGTAGTGGTGTTCTAATATGTACTCTTCGCGACGACATGACCGTCATCGCGGTAGCAAGGAGATTAGTGGTCTGTTATGTAATGCAGCGATGGCATCGCGTGCGGCCCTTCTTTGATGCAAACCCGAATATATGCAAGCAATCATACTCAAGTTGAACCGATGCAACGAGCTTTTCCCTATCCTGATACGCCAATGCTAAGAAGCAGAAACAAAAGAAACAACAAGTGATGGACAAACAACATGCAAGAACTAAACGGTGCTTCGTCATGGAAACTTCATCGCTCATAATTTCATCAAGCTTACGCGACGTAAGCAGGCGGTGCCTCAATCTCGTCATCGTTCTGCCAGAAGCCTCCTGTGGGCGCAGTCTTCGTCCTGGCGTGCGAAGGCCGGCGAGACGACCGGTCCTTTTCCTCTTGAACCTTTCTCGCAATCTCTTGCGCCATCTTTGTCATCCAGGCTTGTTCAAGGATGCCACCGGAGCTGGCCATGACGTCAGCATTGGGTGGTGAAGAAGTGCGCGGTGGCGAGCATAGAGCTGAGAGCGAGGAGACCTTGTCAAACGACAGGGAGCGTAGGAGTGGCGAGGTGGACTGCTGTGCTTGCCGCAGCTTATTACGCGAAATCGGGGGGCGTCTGGAAGATGAGTGGGATATGAATGGGTCTTCGAGATGAGCGGCTGGTGGGGTGGTTTGCTTTGATTTGGTAGGCTTGGGTGGCTTGGGTGCATCTGAAAGATCTGGTGCAGGGGCAAGAAGAGGGCCGAAAGCAGGCGGCTCTTCAGGTATCCGCTTCGGTGTACCAATGTCCAGACTGCCACGCCGACTCTCGAAGCGCATGCCAGGTTGTGCGGGGCTCCTTGGTGGGGTAGCCAATTCTTCCTCTGCTTCCCTCTCTTCGGGGATGACGCTTGACGTCTCAGATGCGTACGCACTTGGTAATGGGGTATTGGCTCCAGTTGACACGCCAGAATCAACATCCTCCTTCTTGCGCAGATCAACAACACGCTTCTTTCGTTTCCGCATGCCACCAGTGCGAGAGCGACTTGAGCCAAGACTGAGCCCCGAAGGAGTCGAGTATGCCGATGCCATGGTAGGTCGTGAGCTGTGTGTATCGTTGCCTGTTGAGCCGGACGCAACCGACGACGCGCCAGACTTGAGGCTGCCAAAGGTCGACTGTATCCTCGATAGGCTGCCTTGTGTGAGTGCTGGCGTAGCAGCACCAGACTCGGGTCTGTCTGGGTGACCTGCCCATGCTCTGAAGACGGCATCGCGTATGCCGGGTGTGAAGAGGGATAGCGTTCGTTGCGATTCGGATAAGGCGGCTAGGCGGAGGATATTCTTCTGAGAAAAGGAGGCGTGAATTTCGCCAGAGTCGAGCGACAAGGCGGAAATTTGGGCTTCGTCCAGTGGGTTCCCGAAGGCATCGACAGCATCTTGTGGTGGCGATGCTAGAGGGTCGATGGCTGCGGTTGTATCGTTAGCGCCTTCCAGTCGCTCTTCTGTCTCGATCTCTTGGTACTCGGGCGACAGCATGCGTAGTGATAGCCTATGAATGATAGCCGGCAAGTCCTCCATGAATAAGACACGCAATTGCCCTTCAATCTCCTTCTGCAGGTAGTCACGCACGAATGGGATGGAATCAAATGTCGACGAGACCTTGAGCGACTCCAAAGGGTCGTTCCTGAAGACCAGCGTCAAGCCCTTTTGTTTGGAGAAGACGAGGATGACAAAGCCGGAGAGGCGGATGTTGGACAGAGTGATTTGCAATGGTATAGTCAAGCCGGACGATGCTGCCAGTGGCTGTGGTGAAGCAAAGTCTGGCTTGTTGGAGAGATACGTCTTCAGCGGGTTTGCCTGAACTTTTGTTTTCAGCGTCAGGAACGCGTCGCCGGCATACGACATCTTGAAGATGCCCCTGAACCTGTCCTCGGCCAAGTCGCCAATCTCTAGTATCTCGAGCTCTGGCGGGGTGGTGCCGAGATTCAGCTCGGTGACGATGATGTCGTCGACGATGATGGGCGGCTTGGGCGATTTGTTCAGGGCGGTGGTGAGCATGTCGCGCGCCCTCGACGTGTCGGCAATGAGCGGCGACCAGTTGAAGTTGAAGGCCATGGTGATGGATTGGGGCGCTCAGTGAGCGGTGCGTGGAGCGTCGACGTCGTTACCGCGCGGGTGGTGGTGGGGATTGGCAGATGATGCTGCTGTCGCGTGCATTCGCCATGCGATCACACGAGGCACGATTGCAGAGGGGTTGGGGCGTGTTTGCGAAGGCAATGGGTGGGGAAACAGGTGGGCAGTGAATATTTCGGGCGGTGTGGGCGCGGTATTGTATGGCTGCACTCGTGGTGGAGTGAGAGTGGGAGAGGCACATGCGGCACTCGAGGGGATTTTCCGGGTCAAAGGTACCGACGTCAAGGATGATGCTTCTCGCCTGCCGCCAACTTTTTACACAACCGCACTTCGGCCGTGCGCTTTCCACCACCCTCCCTCACTTCGGCTTAGCCTACCTGGACACGACGACTGGCGGTGAAGAGCCTGGAGCCGTTGTATGCAAGCATGCGTTACAGACTAGCTTCCCATGCAACCTGATTCGCTGCCATGTCTACATTCTCCATCGTCAGTTTCAAGAAGCCCTACGCCTAGCCACATGTCAACATAATATGCTTCTATCCGCTGTCGTTTAGCTGTCGTCGACTAATTTCCCCATTATCGCTATAGCCCAGCTACCCCAGCATTCCCGCAACGTCGAGCCGAATGTAGCCAATAATAGCAGAGGCTGCTTGTTTGAATCATCATCCGAGCTTTGGCTGGCACATCTGCCGTTGGCGCGCGTACATCATCTGTGGTCGTGAAATTTGTTTTCATGCGCATCCGTTGTCGCTATCGTAAAGGGTGGTACACGTGGATGACATGGCAACTGAGACACCTCACTCCTCCCTGTCACGCGCGACATGATTACAACGCTGCGCCTTGGTCCTCCTTGAGCAGCTTCTCCACTGCCTCAACTTTATCCTTGAACCCCTGCTTTTTGTCCGTCCTGCTCCCCACCCTGATATCACTCTGGATCCTCACAATGCCATTCTGGTGCAGCATAGCATGGCATTGTCCAATGACCCGCATAACGTCGTCCCATGAGCCCTCTAGTCCCAATTAGTATATGCATTCAAGAATATTCCATATACCCCTCCAAGCCACCACGCCCGCATACCGGCCGAGAAGGGAGTTGGCTCGGACGCCAAAGCATCCACGACGTAGAGGGGGATGTGAAGAGTCATACCAACAGTCGTTCCCGCAGAATGCATGGAATAAGTTAATCCGCTCCTCTTAAGAACCCGCTGCACTTCCGCCACCTCTTTGGATACAGATGCCGTGGGGGTGCCGAGCGGAATCAAACAAAAGTCTGCGATGCATGATGGTGGGGTTGCCAAATTTGCGACATCATTTGAGGCCGACATAGTCTAAGTTTGTTATGATTGCGGGGTGCGGATAGAAAAATACCTTGGAAGAAAAACCAATGATAAAGTCTTCGGATGTTGATGGTGGTTGCGAGCGAGTTCGGTGATTGTCGGTTCTCCAGACACCGAGACAGCGCCCTGACTAAAAACACCTTGGAGCCCCGAGTTTGATTGGTAAAAAAAAATACATATGAAATTGTTGCAAGCTACTACAAGAGGTCTAGCTACGATTTACAGACGTCAAAGTTCACCTCTCGCGCGACAGTATCACATTTACATTCGTAATGCGCAATGCAGATTTCAAGAAGCAAACTGTCCACCATCACGCGATCCTAACAAACTTATGCCAACACACTCGTCTGCCACACTATCGTAACACGCAGATGAGTTGCATTTCGTTTTCGGAGCAAGCACGACAATGTTCTGTCACTACCCTATCTCCTTAGTCCTACGCAATGCTATCACTGTTTCATCGCACTCACCATCGCTCACACAGGCACCATACCTCGTTCTAACGAGCTCTCTTCGGGGCGATGTCCACGTCCACAAAGACTGGTGGTGATACGCCAATAGTTATATCGATGGACCCTGCAACTACCTTTACTACCACTATACAAGTAGTAACCAGTACAGTCGAAGAGAAGACTTCTCCAGGGATTCTGACTCAGCCGGCTGAAGTGTCAAAAACGACAACAGAAAGCGCGCTTCTAACATCATTCGACGTCTCGCTACCTAACCCAACGTCTTCATTCGATTCAGCTTCACCTACAACTGTTGAATCTTCCACTCCATCGCAACCTAAACTTGGTCTTAGCGTAGCGGCGTCAATTGGGCTAGGTGTATCGATGGGTATCGGAGCATTTCTTGTCATAGTAGGGGCTCTATATGCGGTGTTCGGACGGTATCTTAGGAACATGAGGAGAAGTTCGGAACGTCGGATGGGTGCAGCGAATGTAAACAGATGGTGGGAAGGAAGAAGACGGGATAGTTGATGATATTGAGTGAATTACTGACCAAGATTTCTTCTTCGCCCGAAGCATGAAGAGTCCGTACTTCCTAAATCAGCTTCAATTCTATACATCACCCAGGTCATTTTTCCTGATCGCTACCACAGGGATCATGTCATCTCCATAAATTTCAATATCAGGTAGCTGATCTGGCAAGCCCACGAGACTATCTTCCAATAGTTACACTGCTGAAAATATTGCTTGTAGAGGGGATAAGTAACGCAAACATACTGCCTGTACACCGAGGAACACGAATGATATGCACAACAGAAGCGTTATACATCAAGTAAGGGACTAACATAAGTGGTGCAAATGAGAGATTGTGCATCTTAGCTGTTGCAGAGAAGCGAGTATATAAGTGAACTGAGTAAAGCCGTTGCGGGAGGAAAGAGCACATTGATGAGTTCAAAAGATTGACCAATCTCGGATCGAATAGATCCTACGCATTGTACACGGGACAAAAGGTATCTACGGTACTAAGCACTCGCAGCCACCACCCCAGGCCGGGTGATGTGAGGTCTCGTAATAGCAATCTTGTCCTCCAAGTCTTGCAGCGAAAATCTAGGCCTGCGGTATGTGTAGCCCACAAAAGCACCCTTTTTCCTGATTTCCAAAACGGTACGGCCAACCTCTGGATCTCGAAGAAGTTTGTCACGAGGCCTCTTCTTCTCTCTCTTACGCTTCTTCATTTCCTGCAATGGTTTGGCAAATAAAGCCTGGGCGGGCTTAGCGATACTGTTCGGCTGGGCTGCCGACTGGACCAAAGGCGTTGTCTCGTTCTCGCCAACATGTTCTGCTAAATTGGAAACTAACGCTTCTCCGAAAGCCTCGTAGCTTGAAGAGTCGAGATGATCAGAAGCACTCATGATCTCAGCCTCATCATCGAAGTACTTAGTAATTGGCTGGCCGCCATGAACACGAGGTACAAACGGAGGACGAGTCTGATGCAGTTGTGACCACTGGATGTTGCGAAAGAACGGATGCGATTTGATGTCTTCGGCGTCGTTTGGGTAAACGATATGACCAGTGGTGTTGATGTTCCGGTTGCGGCGCGCACCAGCAGCTTTGTCACGGAGGACCCAGTCATTCTCACGGTATCGCTTGGCTGAGAGTCGATCTTGCCTCTCGTCGAGCAATCGCATCATTAGATCGATTGCATTGCGTGACACTGGCATCAGCGGTACGCGGTCGATATTGGGACGAGCATATCGCTGCTCAGATGGGAAGCGCAGCCACCGCGTGTGGTCCTGTGAAATCAGTACCAGAAAACGAGGTGTCGAAGCCTGACTCACGAGTATGCGCGCTTTCGTGGCTTGGCGATTGTCGCAAAAGAAAGGTGTGCACCCGTAGAGACACTGGCTTCGTCAGTGAAGTTGCATCTGCCTTTCCACCGCCACCTACCTCGTATAGTATGATACCGATGCTCCACCAGTCACAACGACCATCGTAGCTTTCACCTCGTATTACCTCTGGTGCCATGTATTGACTTGTTCCGACGACGCTCTTCGCGAATTCACGCCTTTGCTCTCGGTTCAACCAGTCGATTATAGGTCCATTCGCTGAGTCTTGTCTGGTCTGGTAACGGCCGCGCGCTGCGGCACCTCCCTTGACAGGTTCCAGGGTTTTGCGAGCATCTTGTCGGCTCTTTTCTTCTTCAACATCTTGCACATCGCCTGTAATATGTAGATCCAGATCGCGGAGTAGGCCGTACCGTTGTTCGTTATAGTACGTCTGGTTATGAGCCCAGTGTCCATCGAAAGCGAGGCCAAAGTCGGAGATTTTGAGATGACCAGATGATGTGATGAGGAAGTTGTCAGGCTTGACATCGCGATGAATCCAATTCATTTTGTGTGCTTCCTCAATGCACAATATCATCTCCGCAAGATACCACTTGGCAACATTCTCGTCTAAGATGTCTTCACGAAGAAGTAGGCCCAGAAAATCGCCACCCACCATATACTCCATGACAAGATAGAGATTGTTGTTATCCTGGAATGCAGAGATGAGAGGTACCACCCATCTTGAGTTTTCAGAAGCGACTAAGAAGTCTCGTTCTGCCCGTAAGTGTCCCTCCTGACTGTTGCGAAGCATATCCGACTTCCTGATGACCTTCATGGCGAAGACTTGCTTTTGTCTGCGGGTTGTTGGGGAGGACCTATCATTCCTTGGTGTCAACGAGCCATCAAGATATCCCACACTGCAGCTGCTCCCCCTTAGAGTGCCGCAATCGTCGCTCTTCTCGCGAACGAGGCGAACGACTCCAAAGCTACCCTTTCCGAGTACTCTTATGATGTCATAGTTGGAAACATGTACGCCCTTCATTGCCCGACGCACTAGTGTATTGGACTTCATGACGCGTGTTTGGCGGAGATGGTTCGTCTCTGCGAGGTACTATTCTCGTCTTTTGCAATGACGCTGCTCGTTGGGTATGGCCATAGCGAAGAGCTTGCGCTCCATTTGGCGGCGCCGCATGGATCGTGGCGCGACCTTGGTTCCGAGGAGCTGATTGAAGTGAGACTCGAAAAAGGTTTTTGCCGCTGCAGCATGCTCGATGGTAGCAATGGAAGGCTCACATAACCGCGGTGCATCTTGACGTGGGAAGACAAGGAACCGGGGAGGCATGTGTTCTGGAGTGGGCTCACAAAAGAGCGCAGGTGAGTTGTCGGTTATATGACGGCCGTTCTGGGTTCGGTATAACGTTTCAGCAGACAGCGGTGCACCCGATGAGACCAATGACGTTGGTGCAGTCGACTGACTCAAGGGTGCGTTGCTACTGGCAGGACTGAGAACACTTGATGGAAGAGAAGGCACCTCGGACATGGGGCTTTTGAGCGAGGTTGCAGTTTGCTGGTCATCGCTTGGTTGCTTGAACTGGTCGGCTTTGACGGTTGGACGAGAGCTTAACTTGGGTCTATGTACTACCGTATCGTTCTTCAAAAGAGCGTTGGAAAGCTTAGAAGTGAGCTGCCATGAGAGGTTTGGCGATGACCAACTTGTCGATATGGGCGCAGAAGGCGGCGTGCGAGCTCTTGGTATAGGTTCTGACTCGCCATCGAAGACGGCGGCATTAGTGAGTTGAAGTAAGGATGAAGAGTCGGGATCGAGGGAGAGAGCTGGTAGATTCATAGGTACATCGGGAACTATAGGACATTGTAGAGGAAAATTGGAGTAGGATTTGACGGTATTGACACGTGGTACGTCTTTTGGTTTGTTCGCTGTTGACCCGGTACTACCAGATGCGGCCTCCGCAGAGCTTGGAGCGGAACCTATTACTGCTATTAGTAGATGTCACAATGTATAGAACAGACATATATGTCATACTCTTGCTATTACGGAAGAGAGAAAAAATCTTGATGCTTCCCCGACGAAGTGTAGTAAAGGTACGGCTAGCCGGGGTACTGTTGCGCCCCTGTAGGTTCTTCGTGGAGAGGCTGGAATGTCCCTCTGCCGATCGCTCGATAACGCGGATCTTGCCTTTGTCACTAGACAAGTGTGTTTGGTTATGGGCTTCTTTCCTTTTTCGCACTGGCACGAGCGGCATCATGATGGCGGCTCTGGTGTTGGGGTGTTGATGGAGGTTAAAGCCGAGCCGAGTAACAATGTTGGATAGACGCTGCGGTCATCGAAGAATGCCGATGCAATGCTGTTGGTGATGCCGGTAACAAGAGGAACGAAAAAGGCCAGGCGAATGCAGTATACCGCTGTCACGGCGGAAAGCATGACTTGGTTGATGTGGAAGGGAGTAAGTCCCATTACAGAAAGGCGGCCATAGTCTCTCAGTGCTCATGGAAGGCGCCCACAACGACTACAGTATCAACCGTGATTACTGTACCTCAAGCGCAACCGTTGCAACCGCTACCTAGGGTACCAGAATCAACGAATTTGTGTACCATACATCCAACACAATCTACAATCTCATGGCGCTTGGCTAAAGCAATGCTTGTTCACTGCTAGCCGCAGCGCGCAAAGATATTCCTTCTCTGCATCCAGCAAGGGGAGCGGATCCAGAAGGAGCGTGGTTCAAGCAAATAGTCGAAGTTGAGGCCTTCGTTTGTCCCGGTGCAGTGGGCACAACCAAGCGACCAGGGGCGAAGAAACAAGCGCCCAATCAGCATTGGCAACACACAACCCTTCCCCAGCTATCGCACTGCAGCCATCATGCAGCGATATGAGGATAGAAACATGCGCATACATGACGGCTGGGAGTTATATTGCGGCAAAGTCGTTGATCGTCGTTCGTTGGGGGCCAACAGCGGCAAGCTGACTGTGCCCACGATTGCTCGCGTTTCGTACGTCTTTCTCTCACAAACAGAGATACCTAGCTGTGGCGGCTCGACACTCTATATCACGCCGTGGTCACACTATCACGGCCGAGTCGCGCGGGATGCCGGTTTTTCTTCAATCCGGAAGGCTTCCTCGCTGCTTGTGATGGGCATGTGGATTATGGAGTAGTTGGGCGCTTAGAGGTGCCTGGCCGGACTGCCGAGGGTCTGCAAAGCCATCACACGCTTCCGCAAATCAGAGAAGCCCTGCGCATGGCCGTCTCGGACGCTATTCGCTCCGCCTCTCTAGAGGCGTTCCCTCCCGCCCGACAATACGTGCATACGCGAAGCTCAGTGGTCGCTGGCCCCTGTAGAGTCAATATGCTAGCTCCGTGCCTATTCGCTGCCTACTCAATGCTTCGAGGGCTGACATGCAAAGGCTGGCCATGCTGGCGGACCCGTTTTGCTCTGCTCATTCGCCTGAAGCGTCTCTTTCGCTAGCAATGGCATGGTCGCACGAGGCAGTCGAGGCCAAGTCCTGTAATCCATAAGTGCTGATGCCCCCCCGCCACCGCACGCTGCCCGTTCTGCATCGACTACCATCAAATCGTGCACCCTTAAGCTGACGGGTCACTACATTGAAAAAGAGAAGGATTCCCGCTTCGCAAGAGTCTTTGCTTTCCGAACCGTACCGCCACAATGTTTCGTTTTACCGAACTCGTTTTCGTGGCCGCTACTTGGTCGCTCGCCGCTGCACATACCGTTATCGTCTACCCACAATGGAGAGGAAACAACATCCACACCAACGGAACCAAGTCCGACACCGACCCATCTATTCCGGATGGGTCGCTCGGTATCAACTACCACAATGACACCGGCACATATGGATTCCCATACGGCATGCAATGGATGTACCCATGTACGTTGCTCAGCCTGGTTATCTCGCGCATGAGACAATAGCTAACAACATTCACAGGTGGTGGTATGCCAATGTCACAAAACCGCACAAAGTGGCCGTTGAAGGGTGGCGCCGTCTCGATTCAGCCTGGATGGTTCCCTGGCCATTCGCTTGCAATGTTCTACATCAATATGGGCTACGGCAATGAGCCTCTAAACTACTCGCATACCATGTTGCCAGTGTTCCAAATTCAAGGACCTTCGAACCAGCAATACCCAGGCCAGTTCTGCCTGCCACAAGTACCGTTGCCCGCAAACTACACGCCTCAGGTCGGCGACAACGCGACTATTCAGGTTATCGAGCTTGCGCAACATGGTGCTGCTCTCTACAACGTGAGTAACAGCGTCCGAAAACAACGATGATACAGTCACTAACAGAATTCAACAGTGCGCCGACATCACTTTCGCCGAACCAGAGGACGTTCCTGAGGTCAACGAAACAAACTGCGTCAACACAACATCGCCAGACCAGCACATTGGTTTCCAAATCGTATACGCAACAACTTCATCGCCAGCGCCACACAACATGGTTGTCAACAGTTACGCATCGATAGCGGTACCGGTAATGCTTGCAGCTGCCTCGTGGATAACATGGATTGTCTAAGCCACGATTATATCATTTATTTGTTAATATGATTTTGTTACGGGCATGGCGTTAGGCGCGAAAGATATCCAGTCTCTTCTGAAGCGACGATCTCCACTTGGAGCGTACGCGGTGTTCTTGGTCTGCGCATATGGAGGTGGACGAACGAGTTGCTTAGCAGCTACGACGGTCTTTCTTTGCGCACATAACACCTCAATATGCAGCATGGTGCACACAAACTACACGTTCAATACTATTCGCAACTACAGCGTTTTCTGTTCCACTCATCGCTCACTCAGCGTCAGCAACGTGTCGTCATGCTTGCTAATGCTTGCTAATGCCCATACCAAAGATGTCTGCTTCTGTAAGCCGCCACCAGGAGGCCTGATCTACATGCGTGTTCCAGATAACAGCGGGTGGCTTAAGATGAGGCCAAATCGTAGACCCTTTTGCAACAGGCACGCTTTCCAGATGGCCTTTGCAATAGTTTGCGGGCCCTACAAGGACCCTTTTCGCCATTCCGCGTCGGAAATCCCGTTCCGAGCCCTTCCTTTCCCCACTAAAACCAGACCCTTGTCCTCTCACGATGATTTTCTACGCGCCCAGGTGGTCCCCTTCCATCCTTCCCGTCATTGCCATCAGCACTTTGGCCACCGCTTCTACGCGCCCATGCAAGCCGCACCTTAACTCGACGACGTGACGATCGGTGATTTCTGTACGTCATTTCGGATTTTGCTACTCTTCTGGTTCGAGAATATGCGCCTTGTTTCCAAGCCCAGACTGATTTTTGAGTGGAGCCCGAAGGAGTGAAGAGAGGGAATGAGCAAAAAAGGCAGGGGGCGTGTGAAGAGGAAGGAGGTTCAGAGTGACGATGGTTGGACTGTGATCACTCATGGGCTGGCTAGCGTTTCGCTCAATGACAAGGGGAAGAAAGAGATAGATGCTGGATCTCTACCGACTCGGACTGTCGAGGGGTTGACGGTTGAGAAGCTTCTCGAGGACTTTCGCACTCTTCAAGATCGATGGGAAGACACTTTACTTGCCAAGCAAATTAAAGAAATCCTGGAGAAGAGTGGTGGAGATAGTGGGTGGGGAGTCGAAAAGGCGGCATGCATAGGCATTGGCAGTTTCAGTAGGGACTGGGCACATCGGTGGAGAAGTCTGTGGCAGCTTGTATTGTTTGTTGCTATAGTTGAGAGGCGTATGTTATTGTCACTCTACCCTTCTCTATCTCTCTACAGAACAACTGATATCAAAACAGTCAAAAACGACAATAACGACACCAAGCTGGGATGCTTCGCCCAAGACCCAGCCTTCACACCTCTCGACGTTGAATTCCTCTCATTACTTTCCATTACAGTCCTCGAATCCGACCTTCAGTCCCGCATCACATCACAATCCTTCGTCTACTCGCCTTTCGTAGATTGGTTTCTTCTCCTACCCACCTTCCTCAAGTCTAAAGATCCGGTCTTGTATGTCGGTAATGAGATACTAGATGATTACAGTGTTTACGCGCAAACAAAGGAGAAAAAGGAGCGGTTGGAGGAGTGCAATGAAGTAGGCAAGAAGTGGATGGAAGGTAGGGAGAAGGTGGCTTTGAGAGAGTTCGAGAAGCATGGAAACGCCTTGAACGGGATGGTCGTTTATTGGAAGAGTGCCGATCACGGGGTACAAGAAGGGAAAGTCACAGATGAGAAGCCGGACGGAGGGATCTGAAGGTATTGTATCTCCAAGGCAGGCACAAGAAATCTGCGAAACGCCCAACGTATTCAGCTTTGCAGTTTGCTATAAATTTAGGGTAAGATTCATGTACGTAGTCAGTCACCCATCTGTCTGGCTGGTATCTGCCATAACGTGATGAAGATTGATAGTGAATGACCGCCTCGAAAAGTTTCAGCACGTCGTAATGAAGGTCTACCAACCGATGCTGGCACACCTATCACACATCGGTTGTACTTACTACCTGAGTGGAAGGAACTGAACCTCTTCCAGGCGAGGGTAGAGCATTCTATTACCTCGTGTCGCACCCATGAGAGGTGAAGACGAAGTGTATACTCAATACACTTCCATCCGCATCTATTTGCCCATACCCTTCAAGTATGCCTCCCAGCCATCCTCTAGCAGGGCCTTGTCCTTGCGCATAACCTCCTTCTCGTTACCCTCCATCCAGACCCTCAGCCTCTCGCGGATCGTCTTGTCCTCAGCACCAAGGATACGAACAGCAAGCAGCGCAGCATTGGTCGAGTTGTTGATACCGACCGTAGCAACAGGCTCACCGCGCGGCATCTGGGTCATGCTGACAAGACTGTCCCAGCCATCCATCACACTCGCCTTGACAGGAAGTCCAATGACTGGAAGTGTAGTCCACGACGCACACATACCAGGCAAATGGGCTGCACCGCCCGCTGCACCAATGATCACTTTCAGAGAAGTCTGAGAAGCGGTCTTGGAGAAATCTCGTAGCCAGTCTGGTGTTCGGTGGGCGCTGGTGATGCGTGTTGTAAAGGGAATTTGCAGCTTGGTAAGGATCTCCAGACCGGCGCGGAGGACAGGGAGGTCAGAATCTGAACCCATGATGACAGCAACGAGCGGATCTTCTTTGGTGCTTTCAGAACTGCGTGATTCGATAGTCTTGCCTTTTTGGTTGTCGACGAAGTCAACGAGTGGCTGGATCTCGCGTTCTGCAGCTGCGAGCGTGGGCGCAGTGATGGTGATGTGACCCATCTTACGTCCGGGACGTGCATCGCCTTTACCATAGAGATGAATCGATGCATTTGGTGACTCAAGAGCTTTTTTTGCGACCTGAACATGTGAGTCCGGAGTCTTGCCGCCGAGGATGTTAAGCATGATTGAGGGTTCGCGGAGGCGGAGACTGGACTGGGAGATGGGCAGATCAAGAATAGCTCGCAAGTGCGCATCGTACTGTGAGATGGGACAGGCTTCAATGGTGTAATGGCCTGAGTTGTGCGGACGGGGTGCGATCTCGTTGATGAGTAGGCTGTCGTCTTTGAGCAGGAACATCTCGACGCCGAAGACTCCCTTTCCTTCGAAAGCACCGATAGCCTTCTTGGCAAGTTCTTGGGCTCTTTGTGCGGCCTCCTCTGCTACGTGTCGTGGTGGCGCGTATGTAAGCTTGCAAATGCTATCCTCGTGTACAGTCTCAACTGTAGGGAATGTGAGTACGCCGTCCTTGGTCTTGACAACCATGACTGCGAGTTCCATCCTGAAGTCTGCCCATCGTTCGGCATATAGTGGCCTCTTTCCTAGGGCCTCAAATGCAGCTTCAACATCCGCCTCAGTCTTCACCACAAAGTTTCCCTTGCCGTCGTACGCCTCCGTCTTACTCTTGAGCATGAAGGGATAGCCATATGATGTACCCACCTCTTTCAACCCCGCAACACCCTTCCTCTCCAGATCGATGCTGTCCGCAACGTCAACTCCATGCTCTTTCAGATACTGCTTCTGTGCGTATTTGTCCTTGATGGTCCGCAGTGTTTTCCAGCTAGGTTCAACGACGACTTGTCCAGATACCTCTTCTAGCATATGGGTATCCACGTGCTCAATCTCGACAGTAACGACATCGGATGATTCAGCGAGTTTCTTGACAGCCGCTGCATCTTTGAAAGATCCCTCAATGTGGCCGTCATGCGTTGATATCTGCTTTGCTGGCGATCCCGCGACATCCAGGACATTGACTTGTATGTTTAACCGATTTGCGGCTTCGATCAGCATGCGGCCCAATTGGCCACCGCCCAGTACGCCTACTTTTCGATTGTCGGCCATCTTGTTAGTGTTGGTGTTGAAGTCAAGTCGTTCAAGTGCTGCAGTGACTAGTTGGGGTATTACGTGGGTGAGAGTGGTTAGCGCGATGGTTGGTTGGATGTGGGGGAGCCGCAGAAAAATTAGCACGCGAAAAACTTCGTCGTCCAGCAGTCGTATACAGAATTTCCTGTTGCAGACAAATAGTCCTGCGAGTGGAATTGCGCATGATAGTGGTATTCCTGAACGAAGATGACGTGCACGTTCACCAGAACAATATGTGGACATGTGGTTCACGATTTAACCATGAGCTCGGAAGAGCCCATCTGTATGCTTTCATTTCATGTTGAGCATTGAGTATCTTTTTGCAGGCTTTCGAAGAGCCCTTGCCAGTCATGACGCGCGCCTCATAAGTGAATTCCCATGACCATGACCACGCCAACCCAGAGAAACCAGAGTGCTTCCAGCACACGCTTAAACCTTGAAACCACGCGACCTTCTGCGTCCACGGGCACGCTCGAACTTGCGACCCTTGCTCTCGACGTAAGGCTTCTTGTGGGAGTGGGGACCGAAGCCGAAGTGCTTGAAGGCCTCACGGGCGTTCTTGGGTCCACGGAGAAGGAGGGTGTTGGATCCAGTGGGGAAGCGGGTAGCGACCTCGTCGATGGTGAGGCACTCACCACCGGCCTTCTCGATGCGGGCGCGGGCAGAGGCGGTGAAGCGGAGAGCCGCAACGGAGAGCTTGGGGACCTCGAGCATGCGGTTGTCGTCAGTGACGGTACCGACCTGACAGTATGTTAGCCATTGTTCTTCGTTGTAGATTTCTTCGCTTGACGTACGACAACGACGGTCTTGCCCTCGTGCTCCTTGGCGGAGTGCTTGTTGGCAGCGTTGGCGACGATCTTGGAGACAGAGACCGGCTACGGAGTGTTAGTGGTACTGTTCTGCGGGCTATATGCGATCGGTTGTCTTACGGGACGGTTGGTCTTCGACATCATGAGGCGTCGCAGAACGGTCTTGTTGAAGTTGGCATCGGTACGGCCTGTCCGCTGTTAGCACAAACAATGTGCGCATTCCCAGTTGGAGTACTTACGAGCCAGGAACTTGTACAGGCGCACCAACAGCCTGACGTAGGGGTTGGTGGACTTAGGGACCTCTGTATACTCGTCAATCTCTCTTCTCTCGAAGGCTTCATGTTGCGTCTAAAAGACAGCTGTCGCCAGCGCATTGCTGCGCCGACTCGACGGGGGATCACATACTGCGGTGCCCGTCTCGAACATGGTGGCGGTCGAGGTCGATTCCCATCTTGACTGATTTTGAGCGTGTTGTGCTGTGGGTTAGTAACGACTGAGGGAGAGAGCGAAGTTCGTGAAATCGAATTTGGCAGGAAAGAGCTCCTTGGCGTGGTGTGGCCCGTGCGAAGCGAGAACTCGAAAACTCCACCCGGCAGGAGCGAAGTGGCCCAGCATGCATGCCGCTTAGTCTACAATATTTAGAGCATTGCATGTGATAATTGTGGTGCATCTTCGTGTTTCCATTATTGCACGCTCGTATCCCAACAGATGACTCCTGTTTCAAGCTGGGGGACCCCCCGTTGGTCTCCAAAGCCACATACACATTAGATACAACACCACGACACAACAAGACATAGTTGAAGAGGCTGCTCGCAAGCATTACCATTATGTAGCTAGAAGTGTTTACTTTCGCTCGCAGTTTCTGTGAATGCCTGCAAGATCTATGTGTCAAAAACGTGTTACTTAATCATTCCCTGTCATTGCTCCCTGACATGCGGTAGACACCACTGTCGCGTACCGAACCACAAAAAGTCTCAAAGAAGGCTCCGTCAGCATGAGAAGTTCCTGCTCGTCTATGCGTATAAACACCGGTCACCGTACACTCCAAATCCGCTCCAAGCTAAAGATAAAACGACAAGGGGGAAGGAAATCAAGGGCAGCCTAGCGTACTGCGAGTGCGTATGCTCTAGGCTAGAAACTGGCATCGACTCGTCGTGGAACGCCGAGTTCTTATACAGCCTTGTCGCCGATGAGCTTGCCGATACCGTTGTAGACCTGGTTGGTCGAGTCGGGAGCGTAGCGGGGTCCGAGAGAACCAAGAACGAGGAACATGCCGATGACAACAGCAGCGAAGACCATCAACTTGCGGAGAACGGGTCTGGTGTGGCCAAACTCCTGCCACTTCATGCTGCCCTGGCCGAGGTACTCCTTCAACTTCTCTCCGCCGAGCTTGTAGTACACAAGACCACCAAGCGCAATAGCGTAACCGAAAGCCTGGAGAGGGGTGACGGGGTCCTTGAAGAGGAACATGGAGGCAAAGACGAGGAGGATGTCCTTGAGTACACCGGAAAGGGTAAGGACGAGCGAGGAGGTCTTGCCAATCTGGAAACATGTAAGTAAATGCATGGCAAATGGACAATGTGCAACATACCAAGAAAACGACCGAGACGTTGAGCAGGAAAGCAACAGATGCGTTGGCCAACAGAGTCATAAGACCAACACGGTCCACATCAGCCATGGTCATCTGGGGAAGCTCGGTGAAGAGCAAGATGAATCCGTTGATGACAGCGCAAGCAGGGGCGTAGTAGTAGAGGGAGACGAGCGGGTCCATCTTGAAATCGGCACCGCTGAGCAGGCGCTGAACCATGACCAGACGGACAGCCTCGAAAACGATACCAGCGCACTGGAAGAGGAAACCGATCATGACGAATTGAATCTCTCCCATGGAGGCAATGACGACACCAATAACGATGAAGGACACGTTTCCGAGCGTCTTCAGGTTGACAGGCGCAACTCCAAGACCCCAGGTGGTGAGAAGGACGGCAACGGGCATAGTAGCCTGCAGAGGTCAGTAGCTGCCACATTGTTCATCTTCGGTCTCGACGTACCTTGAGCATCTGGATAAAAGCCACACTCAGGTAGAGGTATGCCTGGTTACCGCAGATCAAGCTCATACTGAAGAAGATACCGATGGGAACGATGGCTCGCAGGTATACGCGTCCGGTCATGGGCACCTTTTTCCTCGAGTCGAGGACGGTGGTAAAGCGGGCGAGGATCTGGGTCATAACGGTCGCAAATACCAAATGCCATGTTGTCAGGAAAATGGGAAAGTCTGGTGCTGGTGTTAGAATGCGGCGTTGCGGCGGAGCAGCAGAGTACACGTACGGAACTTGGCTGTATCTAGGATGTACTTGTTGAAGACGATTGTGCTGGAACTGAGAGTGATCCATGTTCTGCGGCTTTGTCAGTACGTCGTGTCGTGCATATTGGGATTGAGCTGACCTACGCAATGTATACTGCAGGATGGAAAGATGGCGCCTCGGGCTGGGGCTTCTGCGCCTCTGGGTTGACAGTCGGGAGCACAGGCAGGGCTGTGTCGCGCGACGCCTCTACAGAGGATCTCATCTTCTCGTCTGACATGGCTGCGAGTGGTGGCTAACGAGGGACGGTAGAGGTGTTGGTGGAGGTCAAAGGAGGTGCGGCACTGGAGACAGTGTGGTTACAGTTGCAATAGCAGTGGCAGTGGGCTAGCGCTGCTGACTGATGATGTCTTGCGCGTCCAGGGACAAGCGTGGCACAGGCAACACGAACACGGTCGAGGTGACTTGGTGCACTCGAGGCAAGAGGCAATGAGGAGATAAAGAGCGACAGAAGTGTTGGGAGCACTTGTAAAAGTGACGGTAATAATACCTCGAGGCGCTAGGGAAGGGAGGGGCGGAGCGGAAATCAACCTGACGACCTTCTAGAGCCGGCGCACAGGGGGGGTTCTGGTTTAGGAGCGCTATCACTGGGCAACGGCCAACTATGTACTAGAGCTGATATGAGGCAAGATGAAGATTTGCCAGGGCCGCGCGGGATTTTGCAATGCTCGATGAGGTGAAACTGATCTGCTGTGGAGCCCTCGATGGACGCGCAATCGACGACTGCTGCGAGCCTCCCCCAGCCATGGCGCCGAAATTTTGAGCCGCCTTTTAGCAATTGCTTGTGTAGGTGTGTACGCGTACAGTTCTCCCTGCAGAGAGCGGCCGAAGCGACCGGTCCCACATGTCTCTGGAAAGGTGACAGCTTCATGCACATCGCAGCACCCATACTGCTGCCACGCGCAAATTGTTTACATTGCAGGAGCCACGCCGTGTCGCTGAAGCAGCAGGGTGAGGCGCACAATAGGGGTAATGCATGCTGGTGTCGCTGCCGTACAGAGATGCTTTCGCACACGAGGCTTGATTGCATGGTCGCACTAGCACGACACCAAGTCGATGCGTCGTTGATCTGAAGCTGTAGTCCCCCAGAGATAGAGTCGGTCAAGCTTCACTACGGTGTTGCAACAAGCCAGATTGAGGCTCCACCCGCGGGAACGTGCAGTGGAACACGGTGACACAGCGCGCAACGACAACGGGCCCTCGAAGCCATGAACATGTTGCACATATGGGGTGTGAAAAGGGAGGCTGTCACGATACGCAGAAGACAGCGGCCAATGAAGATGCCCACGAGCAGCCATGTTCTGCCAGATCGACGGTGCCCGTGGCGGCTTGCCCCTTTTCTGGCCGTGGCCTGTACAAGCGCTCCAAGCTCTCCCCCAGCCGAGCAGGCGAGTCCTTTGGCGGCTGGCCCCAGCTGTACAGTACCCTGGACCCGCTTAAAGCAGTATCGCCCTTGGCGTGCTTAGTTTATCGCCAGCTATATTCCTCCACCACGCCCCAAGAGTTTGGCCTCTGCTCCACATTCCTCTATAACTACTGTTGCACTGCTCGCGCACCGAGTACATGCTGAACTACGCCCGCCAGACTTTGAAGCGAGTTCCGAGTTTTCAGGAAATACTACAAGGCAAGATGGGATCCGCCAAGGAAGAAATGTATGTTCACCGCCTGCCCACCTTGCATCCTTCGGGAGCACGCCCTGACAATGCCACAGTTCTGTCGATGTGCTCGTTATCGGTGCTGGTCCGACCGGTCTCGGAGCAGCAAAGCGCCTGCACCAGATTGTACGTCCAACAGACACGTCCTGCAAGTGGCGGGGCAAGTGCTAACAACCGCAGGACGGCCCCTCATGGCTGATTGTCGACTCCAACGAGACACCTGGTGGTCTAGCTTCGACCGACACCACTCCAGAGGGCTTCGTGAGTATCCCCACGGCCAATTGACTGCTGCTGTCTAACACCGCCCCAGCTCTACGACGTCGGTGGCCATGTCATCTTCTCCCACTACAAGTACTTCGACGACTGCATCGACGAGGCCCTCCCCAACGACGACGACTGGTTCACCCACGAGCGTGTCTCCTACGTCCGCTGCAAGCGCCAATGGGTCCCCTACCCATTTCAGAACAACCTGTCCATGCTGGACAAGGACGACCAGGCCAAGTGCGTTGACGGTTTGATCGATGCCGCACTTGAGGCCCGCGTGGCAAACACCAAGCCCAAGGACTTTGACGAGTGGATCATGCGTCAGATGGGTGTTGGTATTGCCGACCTCTTCATGAGGCCATACAACTTCAAGGTCTGGGCTGTTCCCACCACCAAGATGCAGTGCCAATGGCTCGGAGAGCGTGTCGCTGCTCCCAACGTCAAGGGCGTCATCAACAACATCATTCACAACAAGACCGCAGGAAACTGGGGTCCCAACGCTACCTTCCGCTTCCCCGCACGAGACGGTACCGGTGGTATCTGGAAGGCTGTCGCAAAGACACTGCCAGAGTCCAAGACAAAATACGGCGAGCACGCCAAGGTCAACAAGGTCGACGCCGACGGCCACAAGGTACACTTGAACGACGGCACAGTCGTCAACTACAAGAAGCTCGTCAACACCATGGCTGTTGACGCGCTCGTCGAGGCCATGGGCGACAAGGAGCTCATCGACCTCAGCAAGGGTCTCTTCTACTCAAGCACCCACGTCATTGGTGTTGGTCTCCGTGGCGAGCGCCCTGAGCGCATTGGCGACAAGTGCTGGCTCTACTTCCCCGAGGATGACTGCCCATTCTACCGCGCCACCATCTTCTCCAACTACTCGCCATACAATCAGCCACAAAAGGACGTCAAGCTTGCCACTCAGCAGCTCGCAGATGGCTCCAAGCCCCGCTCTACCGAACCCAAGGAGGGTCCATACTGGTCCATCATGTTGGAGGTTTCCGAGTCCAGCATGAAGCCCGTTGACGAGAAGAACATGCTCAAGGACTGCATTCAGGGTCTCATCAACACCGAGATGATCAAGTCCGACGACGAGATCGTATCCACCTACCACCGCCGCTTCGACCACGGATACCCCACACCCTCGCTCGAGCGTGAGGGTGTTCTCACTAAGCTTCTCCCTGCGCTCCAGCAAAAGGACATTCTGTCGCGTGGCCGCTTCGGCTCATGGCGATACGAGGTTGGTAACCAGGACCACTCATTCATGTTGGGTGTAGAGGCTGTCGACCACGTTGTCAACGGCGCTGTTGAGCTGACCCTCAACCACCCCGACTTTGTCAACGGCCGTAAGAACGAGGAGCGCCGCCTCAAGGACGGTGCCCAGATCTTCGCTCAGACTCCCCTTGCTCTGAGGAACAAGGGTGTTGAGTAAGCGCATACACATTAGATGTTCAGCATGTGCAGTTTCGGAAATGTTTATGGGATACCACGTTATGTTATGAGGGACGGGAAGACATGGAGTTGGCGCATTAGTGCGGACTCTAGGTAGAGATAGGTGCATCGCTTCACATCTTGAATAGATGTAGAACAAAAAGAAACTTTTAGACTTGCACATTCACACATCTTGTCCTCATACATGAATTGTTTGAATGATCCCAGCCGCAATTGGTGACATGTATTCAATACTCAACACAACCTTTACCTCCCCGATCGATCGATCGTGACAATACATTTTCACTTGTACATGACTAGCGATAATAACCGCGGGCATACTGATTGTCGCATCCTCATCTTGTTAGACTTGTTTTCGAGTCGTAGCAATCACACCACAGTGGGTACATTCCACCCATGTATAATCAACGGGCCGATTCTGTATGCTTGCCAACCGCTCTAATCTTTCTTTGTTACACAGACACCGCTGTGTTCTTAGAGACGCGTACAAGCGTTGGATTAACGGGTGTATTACGGAGACTCCGGAGATGGAAGGACATGTTGAGGGTAGCTAGACAATGCAGGGTCTGCAGGATCTTGCAGATGACAGCATGTTGTACACCGTATTGTGGTATGGGGTAGGTAGGGCGAGATGGAGGAAAACGCGGTTATGTGGCGAAAAAACGAATACCAAATTGGAAGGTTGATGGTAACGTGGCTTTTTGAATGTTGACTTGAAGTGCATCAAGCCGAGAGTTGTTGTGCGTGTGGGCTAGTTTGTATGTAGGTCATGAAGTATGCCTTTGCTTCTACACACGAAGTCTAGACTAAGTCTTGCTTGCCCTAAACTTCCTCAACACCTCCCTCTCCTCGTCATCCCTAGCCATGCTTTCTTCATCGCCTACAGGGATTCGCTGGTGCTTCCATTGCTTACCCCCTGCGCCATAATCTGCGCTGACTTGTGCGTCACCAACAATGACCCATTTGTAAATTGTCAAGCCCTCCAGTCCTACAGGTCCTCTAGAATGGATCTTGTTCGTCGAGATGCCGACTTCAGTACCAAAGCCATATCGCTGTCCGTCGGCCATGCGTGTACTGGTGTTCCAGTAAACAGAAGATGAGTCGACAGCAGCGAGGAAGGTCTTCGCTGTGGCTTCTGAGGTCGTCAGGATAGCATCTGTGTGGTGAGAGCCGTGTGCGTTGATGTGGTTTATGGCTTCATCGACGTTGGTCACCGTTTTGATCGCGAGTATGTAATCTAAGAACTCAGTGTCGTAGTCCTCTGGTCCGGCTTCTTGGAGCAGTATTGCGGAGTGCGGGTCTAATTTGCCTTTGAGTGCGAGCAGAGAGGTGGGATCGCAGCGTAGCGATACTCCCTTTTGTAGGAGCGCCTCAGCGACAGTGGGAAGGGTGGAGCTGAGGGCTGCTTCCTCAACGATAAGTTGTTCAAGGGCGTTGCACCCGGCCGGGTAGCTTGCCTTTGCGTCTAAGACGATCTTGGCGGCTTTCTCAGCGGGGTAGTCAGCGCAGAGGTAAGCTGAACATATTCCGTCTGCGTGGCCGAGAACAGGAATGGTGGTGGTGTCTTTGACATAGCGAACCAGCTTGTTACCACCACGAGGAATGCAAAGATCGATGTAGGTGTCTTGCTTTAGTAGGTCGGCAATGACATCGTGTGTTTGGACTAGTTGCAGACAGTCGGATGGGACTGCTGTCGATGAAAGAGCTTTGGAGATGATGGATGCAATAGCCGCAAAACTGTTGCTAGACTCACGGCCACCCTTGAGGATAGCTGCATTTCCGGACTTGATGGCAAGCGCAGAGATGTTGGCGATGACTTCAGGCCGAGCTTCAAAGATGATGAGAAGCACGCCAATAGGACATGTTATCCTTGACAATACGAGGTCATCGTCTAGGAGGGTTTTCGCGGTGGTCTTGTTGATTGGGTCTTCCAGATCCTTCACGTCCAATATTCCCTGCAGCATATCCTCATATTTCCCCGGCTTCCCCAGATCCAGTCTCTTGACTAGACTTGCACTTAGCGTGCCTCCTGCTGCAGCCTTGTTCGCAGCTTCCAGATCCTGCGCATTGGCCGCTAGAACCTCCTCTTTTCCAGTTGCTAGTGCGGCATGGATAGCTGTCAATGCGGCATTCCGTTCCTCGGTAGACAAGACGGCGAGTTTCCGGGACCCGATTCTTGCCGCCTGAGCGACTTGGAGTGGCGTGGCGTTGGTTAGAGACATTATTAGAGATACTTGGTGAGGTGGTGAGACCTAATAACTGATGAATTCTTTGCGCACGCGTGACTCAGAATACCTAGTCTAGAGGGGGACAAAGTCTGAGGCGATTTGATCGGAAGGATCGTATGCAGGGTCTAGTTCCGCTACGAATACTATTGGTGACTAGAGACGGATCGTACTGCAGCTGTATGTGGAGGCCGCATTGGGTCCAAAGATAGGTACAGGATGAATGCTGTATGCATGCGCTACATTTTGCGCGACGCCACATGAATCGACGCCACACGTGGGGAAGTCCGTGATGTCCTCGTGTTCCCTACAAGGTATCTTGCCTACTGCGCAATTCTTGGTAAGTGTCTACACGACGACCAAAGTTGTTGAGAAGAAAGAAATTGGGTTGCGTCATACCCAAGATCTATTGCTCGGGCCTGACGTGGCTCGAGCTTTGTGGTGGCTGGATGGCTGGGAGGCTGGGAAGCATCGTCGCCTCGCCAACCTCTTCAAATCCACCATTAACGATCGTGAGAGGGTCTGACCCGCTCTGTTAGCTTGCTTGACACCTCATCATGTAGGTCATTGCTCAGAGATGGCTGGTACACTACAAAAGTACAATGCTGGCCGGGCCGCTGCACCTGCATCTTATCCACAACCTCTCTCAAGTGCTGAGGAGGGTAACCAACCAAACTTATCTGCCCCACGACACTCACGTGCTACTCTCTAGCATCGTGTGATATCACAGCACACTTGGAGCATTACATTGCATTACATCGCATCTCATCGTATCACCACACCATAACCCCGGCGCACCCCGTCGGCAACGCTCGCTATCTGCCATCTTCGTTGTCACATCACCACCACGATGCGCTCCACAATGCGAGCACTCACTGCTCTGGCCTCCGTCGCCCTCTTCGCTCGCTCCAACGCCCAGACATGGTCCAACTGCAACCCAACTCTACGAAGTGACTGTCCCCCAGACTCCGCCCTCGGCAAAACCGTCAACATCGACTTCTCGTCCGAGTCGGAGAGTTTCACACCACAAGGCAACCCTACATACGGCAACGATGGCGTGTCTTTCACCATCAGACAGTCCGGAGACGCACCCCAGCTTACTTCGCTGTGGTACATCATGTTTGGAAAGGTCGACATTGAAGTTCAAGCCGCACCGGGCGCGGGTATTGTCAGCAGTTTCGTGCTGCAATCCGACACGCTAGACGAGATCGACTGGGAATGGCTTGGTGCAGACCCCGATGAAGTGCAATCCAACTACTTTGGCAAGGGACAGACAACAGATTACAACCGTGGTGCTTTCCACTCTGACACGGGCAGTCAGTCAGGCTTCAAGAAATACACCATCGAATGGACCCCAGAACAGATTGTCTGGCAGATTGATGGCACCACCGTCCGTACGCTAGAGCCTGCGAACGCTAACAACCAATACCCTCAGACACCTATGCAGATCAAGTTCGGCGCATGGAGCGGTGGTGATTCAGCCAATCCCGCAGGTACCATCTCTTGGGCTCGCGGTCCCACCGACTACTCCCAAGGCCCCTTCACCATGAAGGTCAAGTCTCTCAAGGTTCAGGACTACTCTACCGGTACTCAATACGTCTATGGCGACCAAACTGGCACTTCGGGATCTATCAAGTCTGTTGGAGGTACCATCTTCTCTGGTGGTAACGCTCCTGTTGCCGACGCACCGGCCATCACTGCGACTGCTACCGGACAGCCCCTGCCCTTTACACCTCACCAGACCTCCGATTACGTTCGCCCCAGCGTTTACCCCTGGATTCCCGACCCGTCGGCTACTCCCACTCCGCAACCAACGTTTGCAAACTACCCCGGGCTTCCGAGCGGGTGGACCGTTTCGGATTCCGGAAAGGTTGTTCCACCCAGCTCAGCCACTGTCAGTAAGCCTTTTGCGACCCCCTATCTTATCCCGATAACAAAATACTAACAATTTTCTGTAGACGTCCCCTCTCGGTTCCTATACCTCATCGCCGCAAGCTTTGCCTACGGGTTCCTCCGACAATGGGCCTAAGACAGTGACTGGATATGACGATCGCGGCTTTACCACTATCCGTACGATATACCCTAGCAAAACACCAGCGCCGACCATCAGTGAATTGGAAAACAATGCTGCGACCGGAGTCCCCGCAGCGCCTGCACAGGGCGCATCATGGAAGCTCATGGTCTCGTCCATATTACCATGGGTCATCGTCCTGGTTCACATCCCTGGATGTCTCAGTCTCTAGGCGCGCTGGACCGACTTATGGGATATGATGGACTTCGGTCCAGCGTTCTATATACTAGGCGTTGGCATCGTCGCGATGAGTACATGTGTTAGGAAATGTTTTACGAAAGGATATGTTGGTTTCAAAGTCTCGATCAAGCTCTGGGCTGCACCTTGGCCAGGCATGACCTGGAAATGGAGTTATCAGAATAAGGGAAGCAAAGACAGAAGACTTGAGTACCTTAATGTTTGGATATGGCTTCGACTGCTTTTTGGATTTTAGTTGCATAGCGTTGGTTTGGGTTATTGTTAAATATCATAGCATGGATGGGATTGAGGATTGAGCTATGGGACTTTTGAACGTTAGACTAATGACGATTACGTCGCAAAGTAATGAAATACTACCCTACGAAACCTGTCCTCACTGTCTGATTCTCGACTGCCAAACTGGAAGATGCTTGGCACTTTTTGAAGAGTGTCTGCTCCGAATATCAACTTTGAAGCTTAAGATATGTATCGAAGTTTGTAAACGAGAATTTAGGGCACTTTTTGACACCAGGTGCAACTCGCGGGCAATAAATCTCCCTGCATTGCCATCTCTGGCTAGTTTCTTTCGTGATCAGGTTCCAGGTATAAAAGTCCCTCTGTGTCACCAGGGCATTCAGAACAACCTTTTTCTAGAACTATCAGACCATTTCCACATATAGGGACCATGTTTGTCTCACAGAAGGTGATTGCATGCGGTCGTCACACTCTATAATTATCAAGGAGATGACAAGGTCCAAAAGGTCCAAAAGGTCCAAAACGCCGGAATGGACTTTTTGAAGAATGCTAGTATACATGAAGAATTAGAGCTCCATCCTATTTATGCTGTAAGGCCGAAAATCATGTGCTTTCTTCTCCACCTCGAACCGAAACAGGGAAAAAAGAGCAAGTGCCTAAACACGATCCTGGCCATGCATATCACACCTCCGATTATTCCGCCAAGTACAAACCTAGCTCAGTCTAAGATGAACAAGCAGGTTGTTTAGTGTAATTTCAACTCTTTTCTGGGCGCTCTCTCTAGCAAACCCTTAGATTCACATCTAACCGCCACGACCACCATAGGGCTGGTGCCTGAACCCACCACCACCACGGTGACCTCCGCCACGGTAGTTCGCGCCTCGGACACCAGCGTTCTTAGGGCCAGTGGGGGCGTTGATGGGAGCTTGACCACCACCAGCAGGGGGTTGGCTAGAGCCCTGGCGAGAACGGTTGTTCCTAAAGCCGCCGCGACCGCCTCCGGGACCAGAGGGGATGTTTGGCTGGGGCGCGTCGTCGTACATACCATCCCAGCTCTGAGGTCCTCCCTGAGCGTTACCGAAGCCGGCGGGGCCGGATAGTTGCTGCTGGCGGCGTGCCTGCTGTTGTTCGTATTTTTGCTGTTCGAAAGCGAGTTGATCTTGAGCGGTGTAAGCTGGGCGTGGACCACCGGCACTCTGGCCACCTTGAGGATTCATCATACCCGGACCACCTTGACCTCCTGGGCCTCCACCACCTTGCATCTGTGCCATCTGCATTTGCTGCATTTGCTGCATCTGCATTGGGTTCATTCCACCTGGACCACCCATCATCTGGGGGTTCGGAGAGCCATTGCCGCGGTTCATACCTTGGTTCATCATCTGCTGTTGCATCTGCTGCATTTGCATCGGGTTCATACCACCCATGGCAGCCATGGGGTTACCGGGCATACCACCGCCGGCTTGTTGCTGGGCGAGGGTTTGCTGCATGGACTGGAAATACTGTTGCATTCGCTGCCAGTACTGAGCCATCATGGCAGGGGACATGGCGCTGTTGCCACCTTGGCCTTGCATATTCCCACCGTTATTGTCATAGTTGTTCCCGCCACCTTGGCCACCGTTACCGTTGTCGTTGAATTTGTTGAACTTGTTCCCGCGGCCGAACTTCTTGTTGCCGTCGCCACCATCATCATCACGCATATTACCACGAGGCTGAGCACGCTTGACTTCAATCTGCTTGCCGAGAATCTGTAGGGGACCGCGTAAAGTAGCGTCTACGGCTGCATCACCATCGAAAGTGACGAAGCCGAAACCTCGGGGTCGGCCAGTCTCCTTGTCCATCATAAGCGTGGCATCGACGACGCGACCAAACTGCTTGAAGAAGTTTGTAAAGTCTTCCTCAGTGGCTTCTTGGCTGACGCCCCCGACAAAGATCTTGCTCGTTCTTTCCTGCTCTTCACGAGGAATCGCACGCTTCGGGTCGATCTGAACAATGTTAGTCAGTGTTTCGCATCTGAGCGTGTATAGACGTACAATCTTGCCATCAAGGTAATGCTCCTTGACCATGACAATATTGACGCACTTGGGGTCCTTGAACGTAAGGAAGCCAAAACCTCGAGAACGTCCGGTAGCAGCATCACGCATGACGGTACATTCACTAACTTCACCGAACTGCGAGAAGTAGCCCTTAAGGGAGTCTGTTGCGAAGGGTTAGTAAGATTGTGCGTTTTATATGTAATTGAATGGACCAAGACATATTTACATACCTTCTGTAGTCTCCCAGTTCAGTCCGCCAATGAACATCTTGCTATGGCTCAAGTCAGTAAAGCAATAACAAGTAGCGACATTATCAGTAAAATCAAAAGAGAAAAACGAGGCGCATCATATGGTATCCGTAGCTGTTCAGTTAGACATGCCTTCGCGTAGAGGCTGGTAACGGTGATGTTGTTGAAAACACCCTTGTCGAAGTATGATAAGCTGCAAATATAGGCTCAACGCCCATGATCCCTCTATCGCACCTTCAGCCATCATCCTTAGAAATGGATATAACAGAATACAATTCCAAGAGGTTTTATCGTAACGAGGTCCATGTCGCCGAGTTTGTCAAATTGGCCATGCTGCACATCTGACAACTAATCGATTGGTGAGGCGTCCGGAGTAGTTTTGCCAGTCGCAGTTATGTAGAGGACGCAATTCGTGTTCTACCGTGGATGATTGGAAACTGAGCTGAGAACATATGCGTTGATATCGTAAGGCTCCTTTCTTTGCAGCAAGGCGTCGCTCGTTCGAGGACCGTATGCGGTCGCAGACGGATGGCTAAGCGAACCCAACTCCTGCGCCGCATCCTACTCAGGACATGTCGACTTCGTGGCGTGCACCAATCATATCGACCAAGAATGCACTCCACGTACTCAAGTCCAAGTTTCGAGGTGCAAAAGTAGCCCTTGCAAAGGCACAGTTTGATTCGGATGAAACGTCTGTGTTCTGCTATGAATTCGAGTGTAGAAGTCTCAGACTATCTCACAGCTCGGTAGCTATCCTTTGCTTGCGTTGCTGGTACGCGCTATCAAGTACCTAGGTTTATATCGACATGAGGCGCTGCCAAAGTTGGGCAAGCCGCGATAGTCCCTGCGTAAGGCGCGTTGATGGTTGCTCTGAGTATCGCTGAGCGATTGACTTTTATTTTCCAGCTTCTTCCAACAACCAAAACTGGTGGCCCACTTCGCCATGCTTTGAGCGCCTCACCAGTGGACGACATGGACCACAATCTTTCGCAAGGTGTCTAGCTCCTAGGCTTTTATCCCAGACTCTGTGCCAACCATGGCCCCAGGTGCTTTGAAATGCGCGACAGACTGACGTGTGCAGAGCTTGTCCTCTGATTGTGCTCGCAATGTATTCCATGAATAGTTCGCCTCTCTCATGCTGTCGAACGCTCTAGCACGATATCCTATGTGGCCGTTGATGGCGATGGTCCTGGCAGCGAGGTGCTCTTGTCTTCAACTATTAACATGCGATATACATGTTCTTATACCTTGTGATGCGCCTCTGGAAGATCATGATCAGTCTGGACATTGCACGACTTACCCGTCTTCTTTCACGTTGATTGGGCCATAGTTGTCATCATCTGCGGGCGCATTATCGTACGACTGGTCACCCCCGGCATTGTAGCCGGACTGGTCCATGTGCGAGTCCTGTTCGCCCCCAGCTTGAGCTGGCCAAGAAGTTGCGGCATCCTGACCATTGTCATGTGTAGAATCTTGAGGCGGCGCGCTCACGGGCTCGGCCTGGGTGGGTTCGGGTTCCGTCTTGGGGGCTGGGGCGGGTGCCGCTGCCGCGGGCTTGGACGTGGGCTCGTCATCGTAGCTAATGCATTGTTAGTAGATTGTCGCGAACTGCGATGATGCTTTAGTCGCGCTGAGAGCACGTACAGATCATCAAAGATGTCGTCCTCATAGTTTTCGTCGGCCATGTTGGAGTGTTAGAGAAGAGCTTGTTAGAGAAAACGTGCAAAAGAGAAAGACGGATGAGCGCGCGAAAGTGAGGTCGCGATTAGTGAGGCGCGATCGTCGGGTTGAATGGAAGGAAGGGAGGTGACAGAAGGAAGAGCCTGACGCTTGAGTGAGGAGATGAGAGCAGAGCAATGGGCAGGCGCGCTAGCATCGGGCTTGGCGTGGCAGGCGCGACGGATACATGCGCGAGCCCTACGCCATACCAGCCATATGTGCACTGGAGACAATAGCGATATTCTTGCGAGTATATCACTTCGAAAGAGAACGAACACCTTTGGCGCCTAGGAAGGTGTCAGGTACGACCCAAAGGAAACGAGTTCCTTCGTGCTTGCCTGGTAGAGCCATCTGAAGCTTGGGTTCATAGCGGGGCCGCCTCGAGACACAGGACAAGCGTTCACTTGTTCAGACATGGCCTCTAAGAAGCAGCAGCAGGTTTGTCCCCCCCGATCTTGTGCGCAATTCCTTGTTTGCTAACAATCTGCCAGGAAATGGTCCAGGTCGGTTCGTGTCCTTCCAAACCACAAAGAGCGTCATAGTATCCGGGGTAGCTAACATATCGCTTCCCTGCATACAGACCGGTCCTCGTACGTTACTACAGTCCCGTCGCATATGGGTTTCGGGTACTGATATCTCATGCGCAGCTCGGCCTCTCCATTTTGGCGCACAACATCCAACTCCGCTAGCTCACCGCAAAACAAGAAGGTCATCGGCGCATCCTATTCGCATGCCGACATACACAACTTCAGTTCATTGTATGTTGCTTCAAGTGCTGTCATTACGAAGACAACTAATTGCTGAAAGGAGCGTCTCTGGATCCAACTCACGACCCCGAACCCCGCCATCGACCACCCACAGTCGCGAGTCAAGCGCTGCACCGAGCCGGTCCAGTAAGACCGTGTCACCCCGTCCCGCACGAGCAACGTACAGCTATTTCCTCAATGATACCCACCAAGACTGGAACCATGGCGACGAAGACGATCCCGACAACATGTTTGAGGATGACGAGGACGAGTTCGGGCTGCCGAGCATCGCAAACATGCGGAGGAAGGGTCGACGGAAACAGCCATCCAAGGCAAAAGAAACAACCGGACATGTTAGTAGAGAAAGCCTGGGCTCAACAGCGTGGCGCGGTATAGACAGTGGTGACATTGCAGAGGAGCGAGGCATACCCAATTACCCAACCGCCAAGAAGATCGAAGGCAAGATCCTACGGCCACAGTATCAAGAGATCCTTCGAGACCCCGCAAACTCGCTACATCTTATTTCACATGCTACCCCACCCCCAAACGCGTCAGCTAAACAGGTCGAGGAGCACTCCGCACGAATAACAAGAATCAACAAGTTCAAGAGAATATTGCAAGCGAGCACCATATCGTTGTCAGACCTGCGAGACTCGGCATGGTCAGGTGTTCCGTCCGAAGTGCGCGCCATGACATGGCAGGTCTTGTTGGGCTACCTACCGACTAGCAGCGAGAGGAGAGTCGCGACACTGGAGCGCAAGCGGAAAGAATACTTGGAGGGAGTGCGGCAGGCTTTCGAACGAGGTACATCTGGCAGCGCTAGCGCCGTCGCCTCTGGGATGGCAGGCGGCGCAGCCTATCCCTCGACGAATCGTGGGCGGGGACGTGGCATGGACGAAGCTATATGGCATCAGATCAGCATTGACGTCCCTCGCACAAATCCACATCTTGAGCTCTACAGCTACGAAGCGACTCAACGATCCCTTGAGCGGATACTATACGTGTGGGCGATACGGCATCCTGCCTCGGGCTATGTACAGGGCATCAACGACCTGGTCACCCCATTCTGGCAGGTCTTCCTTGGTGCCTATATTTCAGATCCCGATATTGAATTCGGTATGGATCCTGGCCAGCTACCAAAACAAGTTTTGGACGCAGTCGAGGCGGATTCCTTTTGGTGTCTAACCAAGCTTCTTGACGGGATTCAAGATAACTACATCGCACATCAACCAGGTATCCAAAGACAAGTGGCAAGTCTAAGAGATCTTACTACGCGTATCGACGACCAGTTAGCGAAACATCTGCAGAATGAAGGTGTTGAGTTCATACAGTTCAGCTTTCGATGGATGAACTGTCTCCTGATGCGCGAGATATCCGTCAAGAACACGATAAGGATGTGGGACACGTACTTGGTAAGTCACGAAGCCACTCTCTTGGAGCGCATCACTAACTATTTATAGGCCGAAGAAGATGGTTTCTCGTCCTTTCACCTTTATGTCTGCGCCGCGTTCCTCGTCAAATGGTCCGATCAACTGCGAAAGATGGATTTCCAAGAGACGATGATGTTCCTACAATCGTTACCAACGCGACAATGGACAGAGAAGGACATTGAGCTATTGTTAAGCGAGGCCTTTATTTGGCAAAGTCTTTTTAAAGGCAGTGGCGCACACTTGAAGAACACAAGCTCAAGAGGAAGTGGTGTAGGGATGGGTCCAGATTTTTGATCCCGCTGATGTGGCATAGTAGGTATAACAATACCAAAGCGTGTGCCAGCGCCTACCCGAGACGTACCTCTTATCATGATGAAATATGAATAATGCATGCTTGGTTTAGAAGGGCGTGACATCCAGCATTCTACAGCATGTTGGTAGTGAAGCTGAATGTTTATTCGAACACCGGTCGTGATTCCCGAACCATAACAATTACCGAGCCAGCGACTACGGAAGCTACCCCGCGCTTTACCCCACTACGCGTCACATAATCCTCGCTATACATTCAGCCGAAGTATCAGGTCACCGGTCTGGCATGATGCACTCTTGTTCCTTCAAAGACAACATAACATCCAGGTCGAAGACCCGCAGCTTCACCACACACCGAAGACAATCCAGCTCTGCAGGAATCTGACATGTCACCACGCTCTCGCCCTCCATTTCAGGATCTTCCACTCGACAAGAATGGCCCTCCAGGAAACGCATGGGGCCTCTACGGCGCAGACGACGAACTCGGTGCTCTGAATATGATCACACCGTCTGTCGTCAAAGCAGCCGCCCAAGAAATACAAACAGGTGACCGCGTCTCGCTAGACTGGTATCTCAACTTGCCTTCTCATCCTTCGTTTAACCGGCCACAATTCTCTTGGAAAATGATGAACAAAGAACATCCAGACGGTACGAAGAGAACAGTCAACGACGATCATCTAAACTTCAACACTCAAGGAAGTAGCCAATGGGACGGATTCAGACATTACGGATATCAAAGCGCAAAGAGATACTACGGCGGACGTTCACAGCAAGATATCGAGTCGTCGGAAGTCATCGGCATCGATCGCGTGGCTAACTCTGGTGGTATCACCACTCGGGGTATCATCCTGGACTACCCGCGATATCTTGAAAGAAAAGGAAAGAAAGGAGTATACGCATTAGATGCGAATAGTATCACGGCAGATGAATTGGAGGATATGCTCCAAGAAACAGGTATCGAGACGAGAGAAGGTGATATGTTATTGTTACGAACGGGATTCACTCGCGATTACGCCAAGCTAGGCGATGAAGAGAAGAGAGCTATCAGGGATAAGCCGCCGGCATTCTTGGGTGTGCAGTCGGATAAGCAGTCAGTACAGTGGATTTGGGAAAATGGGTTTGTCGCTGTTGGTAAGGATGCCATCTCACTTCACCACATCTTATCTCATCTCCACTGCCACTTACGCCACATCACCCTATCTCTTTGTCCAAGACCAACCAACCACAACGTGACATAGACTGATGAATGCGCAGCATCTGACGCCCCTTCTTTTGAAATGGCACCTCTAGTAGGTCCACACAACGCTCCGGGCGGCCTCTGGGCGGGTGAATCCTGGGAAAAAGATATGCAGGGCGGTGGATTATTACACCAGTGGTTGCTGGGTGGCTGGGGTGTCATGATAGGTGAGATGTTTGATTTAGAGCGGTTGTGTGAGAAGAGCGAGGAGTTAGGACGGAGGTCTTGCTTTGTTAGTAGTGTGCCGTTGAAGGTATGTATTACCAATTGCTGAGACTGAGGTGAGAGCTAATCCTTGTGTAGGTACCTGGCGGTGTTGCGAGTCCGCCAAATGCTGTCGCAATCTTCTAACCTGATGTCTCTTCTTGTAGGACACGATCTTGAGAAGAGGTGAGCTACGTAGCCTTGAGGATGAGAAGATGGAAATGGGCTGACGTGGTGTTGTAGTAAAAGGTTTGGCGTGGTACAGTGGTAGCAAAGCCAAGCCGGTGCTTACTCTCATCTCCTCTCCGCTCTCGGAGTTTCCTCCATTGGCAAATGTATGGAATTATAATGAAATTGGATTTTACGAATCTTTACGGACCCATCTCTACCGCACTTTGAGTTGATACAGGCGCCTTCTCGATGCTCTTCCACACTCCTCACAATTGAACCTGGCACGGCCGTTCTACAACAACATCCGAGTCATCGCTTCCTCCCTTATGCAAACCTGTCCCCCCAATCATGAGTTCAGTTGTGAGTGTCTCAGCATGCGGGAAACCCGTCGCCCCGAAACCGGGTAAGCAGGACGGGCGGTATATTAGCCAAGACTGTTCGTACCTCATTACAAACGACACCAACATCATTTCGAACGCTTGGAAAGTATATCGCTACGACCAACCTTAGCCGCTCCTTAGATCATCCGCCTCATTCACTACTTTTCTGTTTCAGCTCCATGGGGTCTCGACACCTGAGGAGATTGGTGTGGCGTTTTTCTCTCCAAAGTACACGTTTACTATATATGGATTGAATCAGGCGGTTTGTATGTCATTCGTAATAGTAAAATCTGTGTGTCACGTGCTACGCGCGACGGCTGAGGGACTTGGATCCATGGTGTTCTGGTGAATGTTTTTCAGGCAGTCGTTCGGGTAAGAAACACATATATAACGTCTACACCCGCTCACCTCTACACTCCGCATAAACCATACGTTCACCAGCTTCATAACCTGTCAACAGTCATCACAGTCAAAATGAAGTCTTTCATCACCATCATCACTCTCCTTACCGCATTCGCAGCTGCCACTCCGGCCGCGTCCTCTCAGACCAAGGCTTGCACGCGCCCTTGTTTCCCGGAAGCGACAGAGTGTGGTGAGGACTGGGTATGTCATTGGCTTCTCAATCTAAATGACCATGCGCTAACACATATCAGGAACCTGTGCACTCTGGTGTGAGTGTTTTTGACTTCCTTGCGGCATAATCTATTATACTAGTGTCTAAGCTGACATTGGTAGGAATGTTGGTTCTGCTGCGAAATCTAGAGGGCGATTGGATAAAGCTGCAGAGGTCTAGAGGCATCATACGAGACAAACGAGGAGATTCTCGCGAGCTAGGTGAAACCGAAGAGGTTAATTACAGAGAATGCCTATGGGATGATCTACTCATGCAACACAACCGGGATTAGTTCTGGATAGAAGAATTAATATGGCAACATAAGTAGAGTCTCTTATGGATCCTGCAGTATGCTATCTTGACACCAACCTTCCTTACTAGCTCTTCCTTTCGTAGTGTTACCCAAGTGGATTGTAACCGGACGGGTACCCGAAAAATTGGCGCTTCTCATCTGTTGGTCGCATTTACTGTGTTTGTGAAGAGCCTCCGAGGATGATTGCGCGTCAGCCATAAGCTGAGAAGTAGGCCTAACAGGTGGTTTCGCGCGGGTCTGGAGCACGTTCGTTCAGGTTGTGCCGATTTGAGAACAATGGTTCATCAAAGGGCGCTTTTAGCGGGTAGCGAACGTATATAGCCCTCCAATTCGTCCTTGTTACCTCTTCATTCTGACATCAAATCTTCTTCCTCAACTTGAAACACAAAAGACATAATCAGAATAGTCAACATGAAGACTTTCGTCGCCGTTACCCTCCTCACGGCCCTGGCAGTTGCAGGGCCAACTCTGACCCGTCCTACGCAAGCACCGCCAACAGTGCTTGCAACTCCTGAGGCCAGAGCCTGCACACGTATTTGCGCTTCAGAACCGCCTACCAATTGTGGTGAAGGATGGGTATGCTGACCGAGTTTCGCTACGAGATTGAATATTTGCTAATTAGTGGTAGGAGCCTGCGCAACTCGGTGTAAGTAACAATTGGACTTCGGTATCGCAACAATTATTCTGAGTACCGAGCTGATGTTTCCAGGATTGCTGGGCTTGCTGCCGGGTTTAAGAGTCTTTACGATGGGTGAACCTGGATGGTGGTCGAACAACGGTCTTGGACGATATTGGAGAGTTTATCGATGATACGGATACGCTGTCGTTACTTTAGAAGCGCGCAAGATTCTAGAAGTGTGCGGAGTAAATAGTTTGGGGATGATTGCTTAGTGTGAAAGTTTACTCTTCGACAAATTTTATCTTGCCTAGCTTCAACACCTGCTCTTTCTAGGTCAGCGCCTGCTGATTGTATGCTACTCTTAGGTCATTCTTGCTCAAGCATTTGGAGAACGGTCTCTCGCAAATCTGTTTTGACCGTGTTCATGGTACCAAGTTTAACAACATGGTCGTGTGGAATCCAGCGAGTATTCCTGTGAATACGTCATACTGCTAGGGCGCAGTCTAGCAACATGACTCTGTTTCGTTGCAGAACCAAAAGTCGACTCAGGCATCATCTCTTGTATCTTCGAAGTAACCTCAACATCTTCACTAAACCGTGTCAAGTCACGCTCCTCATCATTATGAAGCGAGTTACTCAGCTAGCTACAAGATGAGAGAATCGGGCTGTGTTAAGTAACTTACCCAGGGAGTGCTGCATTCATGGGACTCATTCCATCAGCAGAAAAAACAACAAAGACATCCCGCACCTTCGCTCCGATCATGTGACATTCGCATGAGTCTGTTGGGTTGTTCTACTTCCATGAGTTGGTATTGGAGGTGGTCTGTTAACTCCGCGACCCAACCACCTTTCGACCGCGCATTTCGTCCTAAGCCCGATCACGACGCACCAAAACAGCTGCCGAAAGAGATGCGCAATGCAATGGCGCAGCTTTTATATGGAAAAGCCGAGATTGCGTAGGCTTTTTGTCGCTCGAATTCCCAGTCGGTTGTGGTGTCCTTCTTACGCAGGAATCGTCCGTTGTGCAACGGACCAATCGAAGCACCGGCATTGCTTGTATGAGGAAACTCGCTCCAACAGCGTACCTACCTATTTAGGTAACATTAATATATATATCTCTTGCAAAGTCGCCAGTACATGCTACAAAAATTCACAACTTCCTCTTAACGGTATCACTGTCTTCACTGTCTCCTGTCTCTCCAATAATCATACTCATCTCGTTCATTTTTAGTCATTGTATTCAAGATGGGCTCCCAATTCAGTCAAATGTTCCCGCCCGCAGCCAAGTTCACCGAATCTTCACTTCCCAACCTGTACGGAAAAGTCTTTGTTGTGACAGGTGCTTCAGCAGGCGTAGGTAAAGAACTCTCCCGCCTCCTCTACTCCTGCAACGGTACCGTATATGTAGCGGCCCGATCTTCTGAGAAAGCCTCTACAGCGATATCCTGGATCAGAGAAGCTTGCCCGCAATCCAAGGGCACATTGCACTACCTCCATCTTGATCTCGACGATCTCCATGGGATCAAAGCATCTGCAGAGAGCTTTCTCGCAAGGGAAACCCGATTAGACGTCCTGTTCAACAATGCAGGTGTTATGAGGCCACCGAAGGGCACAACAACGAAACAAGGATACGAACTGCAGCTTGGAACAAATTGCGTCGCGCCCTTTCTCTTCACCAAGTTACTCACGCCCATGCTACTTGAGACAGCGAAGAGAGAGCCAGAAGGCAGTGTGAGGGTAGTTTGGGTGAGCTCCTCAGCTGCGCATGTCATCGCGCCGGCTGGTGGTGTGGACATGAACAATTTGGATTATAAGACAGATGTCAGTCAGATGACCAAGTACGGGATTACCAAAGCGGGAAATGTGTTTCATGCGATGGAGTTCCAGAGACGGTACCGAAAGCAAGGGGTTGTTAGCGTGGTAATTCACCTTCTTCTCTTCCCTCTGAACTACCTTGCTAACATGCAGAATGATAGGTGCTTAACCCCGGTAACCTCAAATCTGATTTGCAGCGCCATGTACCTGCTTTCCAACTTTTCATACTTAACATGATCTTGCACCCACCTGTGAACGGCGCGTACACTGAGCTGTTCGCTGGCCTCGCGCCTGATGTTGCGAATCTCAACACGGGTGACTGGGTTGTACCATTCGGCAGGGTTATGCAGTTGAGGAAGGACTATTATTCCGAAGCTGGTAAGAAGACTGCGAGCGCGTTTTGGGAGTGGAGTGAGAAACAGGTGGAACAGTACGTTTGAAGATTTTAGACCTGTCTGGCCGAGGAGAGGTTTCCTTTGTCCTTTCTCGAGATTATCTGGGGGGTATAGGTGCGTATGTCAGCCACGCGATGCTTGTGTAACTATTGAGGTGTACTTTACATGTTCTCATCGTTATGTGTGGAAGTCTGACAATCCAACATTCGTATTCGTTTTGTTCTTACACATACGACCATGAGACTCTGACTGAAGATTAATTGACCCTCGCGATCTGTCTGAGGTTGCGGCGTCGTTCCAAGGTCAATTTAAACGCCACTTTGTCACCATACCACTATAGCCATAGATGACTATGACAACCAGGTGTACTCCTGAGACCTACCGTATAGATGTGCGCATGTTCGCGTAACGCGCACATCCGAGGCCTCTTGGAGTTTGATACTAGTTAAGCCTTGATATGCCGGTCGTGGACCAGGAACTTGAATGCCTCCTCTTCTCGCCCATCGGAAGAAAGGTTTGTAATGCTAGTGGCTTGATTGGTACGCGTGTTGGGAAAAGTGGAGATGTCTCCACACCCCGCAACTCCAACACCGGCGCTTCTTGTCACTCCCGACAACGCTTATATTGCGCGCAGTTGCCTTTCTGCCTTTTCAAAAGTATGGGCTAGTTTTCTTAGAGATCCCAAGCATCGTCGTACGTTCGGACTCGTGCTCAGCATACACATGCTAACACCGATGGGGCTACAAAGGCCTGGAGCAACTTGATAAGAGCGCGTTCGCCGAGCACGGCTTCTACCCCATGCTCCCGAGAAGAGCTTAGCGATATGGAGCCGGCGTGGACGGAAAACGGGCGATGTCCTAGGTTGGCAGGGGTAACTTGGCCGGAGCTCGTGGGCTAGCGCTCGAAGCGATAGCTATAGGACAGACTGAGACGGCAACATAGTGCAGTATTGAGACTTACACGCGAACCGACAAGGAAGTGATCTCGGCTTTCAACTGCTGAGACTGGTCTCTAAGATGTTTATCAACCACGTCTTTACTCCTCACTTCTCGTGAATATAGATAAGAATGTCCACTCGGCTTATCCTACAAGTTTTGGCGGTTTCATTCATGCTCGATAAGCACGTACTCTACGAGTCGCCGTATAAAACCATGTCTAATCAGTCGCGCTACAGACCGGCCCGGTGCAATGCTTATCTGGAGCAAACAAGGGGCACCACCTCCCAATCACCTTGCCGGTCGATGTTCTTGAGCACTCAAGAGCCCTGCATAAAGTGAACGCATATCATGAACGATATTCAGTAAAAGTGTCGTCATGGATTACTCGCAATCTAAAGACACTAAAGACGCCAAAGTGCATGACAAGGAGAATGACGGTGGTGAGGACATTGCGATAGGATCGCAGGAAGAAGTAATCGATTACGACTTTCTGCGATCATGGAAATGGTCGACTTTATATCGGAGCGTGCTGTTCCAGATGGTGATGTTCGGAGCGTAAGTAATCCTCTCAGAGACTACCATCGGGATGCTGAATATGGTCAAGGCTTTCGTTGGTTGGCCCAGCTATGGGTGATGCTATATCCAATCTAGGAGGAGGCGGTCTGTCTACACCATGGCTAGCGAATCTTGCAAATTCGTTGAGCTATGCCATGGGCTTCATCAGTACTATCCTCGGAGGCCCAATCATCAACAGGATAGGAATCAAATGGGCGTGCTTCATTGCGGCTCTTACGATGCCCCTTCAAGGATCTGCGTACTATGTAAACGCTAAATTCGGCATCGACTGGTACCTCATAGCATCCAATGTACTATCATCACTCATTCATACGAGGGAAACATACTGACGGCACTAGGTTATCAATGGTCTAGCAGGAGGATTTCTTTATGTCAGTGAAACGACGGCCATGCTATGCTACCCGAGGCCAGAAGAAAAGGGGCTGTACCTTGGTAAGCATCTGCGTGCACCCTGAAGAATGATCGTTGTAATAACCTCTGGCAGGCATCTGGTCGGCTATGCGAAGCTCCGGAAGCTTGATCGGTGGCGCGATAAACTTTTCCACAAACTCGGATAGAGCGTCTGCTGGAGGCATTGCGTGGTCGACATATCTGGTCTTTGTTGCATTCGGTACGTCACAGATACCTGAGCATCAGCTCTGGGTGCACAGTTATTGACAGATAGTAGAATGTACTGGAGTTCTTTGGGCACTGTTGTTGTCCCCTACACCCCGAGTGCGTCGTCGCGATGGCAGCAAAGTCGCCATGTCGGGGAGGATCACTTGGAAGCAAGAATTCGTTGCTCTGTGGAGTTATCTACAAAGCAATAAGGTCAGGAATGAATCAGTCTTCGAAATCTGGAAAGCACCTAACACGATGCCAGGTCTGGTTGATCTTTCTGCCCTCGTTCTACTCTTTCTTTTACGGAGGGACAATGGGTACCTATCTCTCGCTACACTTTTCGGTCCGCGCACGCGCTCTTTCATCTTTTCTTATTCGTATGTATCGACTCTCGGCCCCACCAACTATATGCTGACTAGTACAGCCGCCATTACCATTCCGTCGGTCGTCGTATTCGGCAAACTTCTAGACAGCCAGCGGTGGTCCCAACGGCCCAAGGCATGGGCTGCGTTCTTGCTATGGATTCTGCCACAAACTGGTTGTTTCATCTGGGTTGCTTTTGAGTACCACTACCTCGGCGATAAGGCGGCACTGGATTACGGCTCGTAAGTTATCCCACAGAGAGACAGGCCCCAGTGTGACCGAGACTGACTTGAATAACAGAGAACCTGGAAGATGGGCAAGGGCATACGTGCCGTACCTTATCGTCTTCGTGAGCGGCTACTGGACGCAATTGACACTATACTGGATTCTTGGCACATTCTCCAACGACATGGGTGATTCTTCACGGGTAGGAGGCTTGTTTCGCGCATTTGAGACGGCTGGCCAGGCAGTATCCTATGGTCTGAGCTCTGCGAGTGGTATCGCTCCCGTGGTTCCGATCTATGTGAACTGTGGTTTGCTGGTTCTTACTGTGCCTAGTATGGTCATGTTGATCACTAGGATGCCCAGGAAGCCGTTGAGTAATGTCATCGCTGAATGAAGTTTGTATCGTGCGCGATGGGTTTCCACGAAAAGATTGTATACGTGTATGTTGCTGGAATTTGGGACAGCGTCTTCGAGGTCTCACCGTAGATAGCGATCATCAAGTCATTCAAGAATATTTATCGTGACACATGTTGTGCCCTCATTGCAATATCGTATTCTGCTAATCGAACTGTTTTTCTATACTTGTCCGCATCGCTCCTCTTCCAGCACGCGAACAGCCATTGCTGATGAATATTGTCCAATAGAATTGCCTGATCACCTTGCATCTGATGCAGCGTTGTCGGCGAAAGGTAAGACTGAAGGGCTTTTGCAGGAGTTCAGATGCTGTCACACAACCACAAAGCTTCTAAGCTGAATTGTACTGTACTGAACGGGTGTTCGCTTGCTGGCGGCAAAGTCTACTGCGTCCTTATCGGTGACCGGCCCGGTGACCGGACCGGTCGCGATTGCCTAACGATCACTGCCTTGCGCAGCCACTTGAAGCCAAGGACTAAAGTTCCTGGCTTGTGTATCCTATCCGTCTGATTAAGGTACGTGAGTTCCCGGGTTGGATGCAGTAGAGGCGCACCTGCCTTGAGAATGACTAAGCGTGAGTACCTTAATAGCCCACCTTGCACTTAGGACAGCTCCGTAAACCTACCACCAATACATGAACATGATTCACAACCTACACCTCCAACATGTCTTTTCCTAGTACTGGCGTTAAGCCTTTCCCGGTGGCGGATGCTGTTCCCTCCTATTGGAGGAAACAAGTTGGGCCCATCGATAACCATCGCAGCACTGGACATCTTCCCGCGCAGGCTGATGTTGTAATCATTGGTGCGGGATACGCTGGAGCATCGATTGTGCATCACATAATCGAAGAGTGTGTGCGTTGCGACCGCCCAATCCCATCGATACTTATCCTTGAGGCACGTGAGGCCTGTTCTGGCGCTACCGGACGTAATGGTACGTATCATATGCTCTTGAGATCCAGATTCAATCTCACACGTACTGAATCTGAGGGTTCAGGCGGTCATTTAAAACCAGATCCTTTGTCAAGAGCGGCCAGTGTATTGGAGACGCACGGGAGAGCGGTCGCGGAGCACGTGGCTACATTTGAGGCCCGCCAGGTCGACGCAATTAAAGACCTTGTTCGACGTGAACATTGTGATTGTGACTTCGAAGAGACCAGGGTTACAGACGTCTGCTTTTACGAAGCAGGCCGCGATAGAATCAGAGCTGACATCGCGAAAATCGCTAAAGCGGATATCTCAACTGCGAAAGGGATAAAATTTACTTCAGGCAGCGAAGCAGAAGAGGTATGTAGTGTCTGGAGATGAAAGTATTGACATGCTTCGTGGAACCATCTCTTTGGAGCGATCTGACCAAGCCCATAGGTTTCTGGCGTTTGGGGTGCAAAATCTTGCCATACATATAGTGCCGCTCGCCTGTGGCCTTACCGACTTGTGGCGCACTTGCTAGAGAAAGTGGTGTCTATGGGTGTCAACTTGCAAACAAATACCCCAGTATCGTCCGTCTCAGCAGCCGATGAAAGCACAAAAGATCGTTGGGTCGTGAACACATCGCGTGGCTCCGTTGAGACCAGCACTCTCATTTATGCTACGAACGGATACACGTCTGCTCTCGTACCTGAGATGAAGGAAAAAGTCGTCCCAGTGAGAGGCATAGTAGCGCGCTTAGCGGGCGAGAACGCACCAAAGATGACTGATAGTTATATGATGCGGTTCTCCGACTACGAGTACGACTATATGATTCCTCGACCGGACGGAAGTATCGTCGTCGGTGGCGGAAGGCGCGACTACTACAAAGACTTGGACGAATGGTTTGATGTATCCGACGACAGCAGACTGATGGATGGCGCGCGGAATTACTTTGACGGTTACATGCAACGACATTTCCGTGGATGGGAGAACAGTGATGTACGCACAGAAGATGTATGGACTGGAAGTAAGTGTCATCTGCACCAGCTCCCATTGTTGAATGTTTCAGAACTGACTGATCTTCTCCCGTGTTAGTCATGGGATATTCTAACGACGGGTTCCCTTATGTTGGACCAATTTGCGGAAGACCCGGCCAGTATATGTGTGCAGGATTCAGTGGGCACGGTATGCCGCAGATTTTCTTCTGCGCAAAAGCCGTCGCTTCCATGGTCATCACGGGCGATGCCGAAGATGTGGATCTCCCTGTGCCGTACCGCATCACCAAGAGTAGATGGTATCAACCCAAAGAACATGTGTCTCTCAAGACGTGGCAACAGATTGCGGAAAGCCAGCCTGCTCAAGCACGGTTGTGACGATGAAATAGAGCGAAGAGTTTGGACCTAGATCGTCCACTTTTGCAATGCGAAAATTATCCACTAATTTTCACACGCGCTTCGTTGGCCAAAAGGATTAACCGAACACTTTTTATCGTTCATGTATTGGCGATTCTAGCGTGTGCAGAACGTCATTTCGGTAGCCATGAAAGGCTCTCGAAGAACTCCCTCTCTGTGTTACCATGGTTATCAAAGTCCGAAGTGAAGAACGCCACGCTTCCATCTGAGTTGAGTAGATCAAAATCGAACGGATATCCATCAAGAGATATGTCGCTTGGCATGCTATCCACTGTTGCATCGGCTTTGTTTGGTGTCACCCTTGGGCCTTGCACCGTCGCTGCTTGTATATTTGCATGTTCGGATGCTGAAGACCCAAAACGAGGATTCGTGGACCTTTCCGCTTTCTTGTACCAGTTAAGAAGACCGTTGTAGCCCTCTTCAACCGGATCGTTGGCTTCCGTGGCCACAGGTTTACTTGGTAATGGATTGAACACGTTAAGTCGATGCAGCGCCGCTTCTAGTGTCTCTAGGAGCGACACTTCTGAACGCGCAGAATCGCCCGCAGAAGCCATTTCTCTTATCGCTTGGAGACCTACTTGTAGGGTGCTTGCGAACTCGTTCGTACGGTAACATATGCTATAGGCGATCAAGACCAGCAAGGACGCGCGGCAGGAACTATACTCGGCATAGGACGACTTTGCAAGGCCCATATCGCCCGTCTGCATGATTTGGCATATACTGATAACTTCCTTCGCAGCCGCAACGCAATCCTGGACCAAGAAGTCCCACTGTGAGCGGGACTCTGATGCTTTCCTCCGGCGTACTTCTGGGGATGCGGCCTTGCCGTCTTTGGAATGCTCACTGGACCGCGCGTGACGGTGCGCAAGGATGAAGGGTCGTCCGATGAACATGTGCAACAGGCAACACTCCAGTCGAGTATGGATTAATGCGCGGTTTTTTGGTAGCTCTGTCTGGTGGTTCGGGGTTGGCGATAATGCACTCCCGTGAGGAGGTGCCCAAGGCCCTCGCAAATCTGCCTTCATGCGCTTGATACGGTTCAGGATCGCCCCGACTTCGGCATTTGCACATTTTCGGAGACATGATCTGGCAAGGTATAGTCAGTTGGTTGTCTTCTGTTTCTGTGTATTTAGAAAGTCTCAATCTGGACTTACATTTCGTGGAGGAATGCCTCAGCATGCCTTGTGAGCTTGATTGATTCCAGGAGACCTTGAGGATAGAAAGAGTCATCGTTCACAAGACGTGCTTCAGAGCTCTGAGGTAGATCTGCATCGATATCGGCTTGTACGATGGATATCGGGCGGCCGTGGTATATACCAATCTTTCTAGTGGGTCGGATTCGTCAGCACGGAGACGATGTGGTATCAGAGAGTTAAGAACCGACGAACCTTTCCATGCAGTACACTGTCCACCAAATGCGACGTCTGATCTCCTTGGTTCTTGGATCGAGGACGTTGCGCGAAACCTTTCGATGCATCCCGTTCTGTATGGCCACCTTGATAGCTAAGTTTAGATAGATGTAACTCAGCCCAGATGCATCAATGGGTAAGGAATATAGGCCGAGAAGCAAGAGTACCTGGACGCTGAGCAGCGAGCCAGCATGGATGACTTCCGAAAGTAGCTTTGCCACTTGACGGTAAAAGCCGGATCCAATTTCGAGCTCCCAACTACTCTGAACTTCGGAGTCTGTTGCAAGGTCCGTGCTGGAAGTCTTATGACGATCGGGCGATTCTAAATGGACATATTGAGTTCCGACTGCCAGCACCATCAGTACTACACATATTGCAGTAACATCTTTAGAGCGTAGCGAGACCGGTTTGGTGTATATGTTGTCTAGGGTTTCATCAAACCAGCGTCGGTCTACATAGTAGTAGACGCTGGTGGCATGCTTGAAGAAGACATTGGTCAAGAAGGTGGCAACAGGACGGGGTGGCATAACAGCGAGGATGTCCGAGATGGAAGTTGAAGTTGGATCTGCCTCACCAACGCGAATGAAATCCGGTACTCGCGTTACGCTTTCTAAATTCTGATAGAGATGGTGAGCAAAGAGGAACAGACTAGGCTAGCCGCACGTACCTGCACATTGGCTTTGGCCATGAGTTCGTCTATATTGCGTTTGATATGCATGGAAAAGTTCCAATGAGAGAACTCGCCTGAGTAATCTGCACAGTGATAAAATGTCTCGTCAGTGTGCTTGAAGGAAAACAAAGAGGTTCAAGAAGCACGTACGGACTATCGTACCGTCTACGCGGTCAATGGTACAATCCTCATCTCCAATATCGGGACTGTCAGACACTTGGACATTCTCCGACGGCTCGATAGACTCGGGAATGATCTCGTTCTGGTCGCCTGGTGGTGTGGGCGAAGACAGGGAATCGCACATGCGTTGTAGAGAAACGGTATCCATGGCGAGATTGGGAAATTGGTGTTTGACTATGAATTCCATACATCGCATGCGGTCCATCAGCTCACTGAGCGAGTCAGGAAGGCCCGGTCCTCGCTTGTCCACTGCAGCAGGCGCAACATTGTATCTACACGGTCGGCGCAGATGGCGACAGCGCCTACACGGTGTACCATCCTCACATTTCTCTTTGAGACGGCGACACTCATCACACCTATGCGATGCTTGTCAGCCAACACTCTGCCTCGCGTACTTCGGCGAGACAGTGGTGGGTCTTACGCGCGAACTGCTCGTTGTCGCTCCTCAGCCGCTAGATGACGCTTCTTGGTGGGTCTTGGAGGCTCAACGTCCATAGCTCAATTGAACAAAACAAGACTAGGTAAGAGCTGAAGAGATTGGGTCGGCGGAAGGGTTCTGAGCATACGTCGTGGATTCACAGCTGTCAAGGACACCCACCTACTAGAGCGCGAGCGATAAGACAGTTAAATGACGCGCAATGCAGCGACGTTGAAGCCGTCCAGCTTCCTGTGGGCGCTCCGCACAAGGCTTATCCATTATGGGTTAGTAGTAGTCCTGGCTTATCACAGACACGCGATACACCGGCTAATTCGCATCACAAGAGATAATGGCGAACATCGGGCAAAATACTGGGGAGGAGTAGGAAAGAGCATGTGGAGATGAGCATCCTTTACTGATGTCATTGAGACTTATCTACAATCTGCTGTGCCATTTCCATGAGACCTCCAGCCACCACCTCTAACTTCACGTCACTAAAAACGTCGAGACAAGCTTCCTTCTCGTACACCGAGCTCCATGCTCCACGAAAACCGACTTTTGTGGCCGCTGCGACATCCCACATGTGTGCTGCAGCGAACCATTTCACATCGTCTGCCCCAAGTCGTTTCCATACAGCTTGATAAGCGGGAAGAGCGGGTTTAGCCATGCCTGTATTGTCGCAACTAATGAAATTCTCCAGCGGCATGTCTACACCGGCGCGTTCGAAATAGCCTCTGACCCGTTGCACATCTCCGGTGGTGAAGCACCAGACTGTAAAGCCGTTGTCGCGCAGCAACTGGAATGTCTCCCGACAGCCAGGTCGCAGCTGTAAAGCGGAATAGCCCTCGATGCACTGTTCCCGCTCCTCTTCAGTAGCTATAGCCCGAGGATCGGCGATGCCACAAAGCCTGAGAGTCCGGTAGAATAGTCCTCGGAGAATGTCCTTGTAAGGCTTGTAGCTTTCGGAGATGGATAAGAAGGTAAATTCCAGCTCAGCAGCTGTCTGCCAGGTGTACCCGAAGTGTTGCGGGGTTACGTAATGATGGCGAAGTTTTGCACCCAAGACTGAGTCTATGCGTTCGTAATAGGCGTCGAATGATACGCAGGTGCCGACGACGTCGAAAACTACGTGCTTGAGAGGCTGTGTCATTCTGATTCCCAGTGTGGTATGTGGTAACTAAGATCAAGGAGTTCGACAGCGGTAGATGCAAGATATGTCGACATGGCATGAGTGACAGACCTGTGGAGAACAGACCCCTGTATCAAGCTCGGTACCTTAATGTCTCGTTATGGTGAGTAGCGGTATTAGTGGATGATAGAAGACCGGCCCGGTCTGAGATGACTGCCGCAGCGCTCGGACCACGTAGTTATCGATCGTGACCGGAGCTCACCCGGTTCTGCCATTGACACATAGGTACCTAGGTACGATAACGATGAGCAGTAGCTTCAGCGAACTCCGGACCGGTATTATCGTTTCTCAAGCTCTAGCTTCCTAAGTTGAAGTGATAAGCTCGATGACCGGGCCAGGTAGCCGGTCGGTTTTCGAAAGAGCGGTGTTCGATTGCCGATATGAAAACGTATACGATGTAGATGGCCGCGCGAAACGTGCTCTCTGTTCGGTCGTAGAAAGTAATCTGTTATTCTCAATTCCTCAACATGGTTTTACCAACTGCCAACCCCACCAAATCCTATTGGATTGAGGCTGCGAATTCGCCATTGCGCAACTTCCGCTCTAGCGAAGCGTTACCAGAAGAAACCGATGTGGCAATCATCGGCGGTGGTTACGCCGGCGCATCGACAGCTTACTGGATCAACAAAGTGTGACCGCACCAAAATGATTTGTCCATTCACCAACTCTGACGGGTGATTAGTATACAGAGAATGCTTCAAGACAGCCTCACGTGACTCTCCTAGAAGCTCGTGAAATTTGCGGAGCTGCCACCGGACGCAATGGTAATAGTACTTACATCTCGTCCCTTGGAGAAACACCTAACAACGAATAGGAGGACAATTGAGGCCGCATGCTTATTCCCGTTATGTAAAATGGTCGAATCGATTTGGCCCCAATGGTGCCATGGAGCTTATCGAACATGAGATGGCTCATTTGCCGGCATTTAAGAATCTAACTGAGGAAGAAGGTATCGCGGAAGAGGTCTGTCTCAAGTTCGGAGAAACGTTCGATGCTGCCATGACCGATGAGGCCTGGACGAGGCTCAAGGGCGCGCTTGACGCCATGCGGAGGGATCATGGCGACCATCATGAGATCGTCAAAGTGTGCAGAGTAATCGAAGACGCGCACAAAGCGGAGGAGTTTACACAGATGAAGGGTGCTTTTGCTGCAGTGGTGCATCCTGCAGGGCAAATGTCGGTTCTTCCCAACTGTACTACTCTCTCACGCAGACCTACTAACATCGTCTCAGATGGCCATACAAATTGGTGCATGCACTCTTGCGTATCGTTCTGCAGAAAGGCAACCTCAATCTGCAAGCTCACACCCCAGTCACGGACGTTTCAGCGCGAGACGCTGAAGGTTGGATCACAGTCAAAACTGAGCGTGGAACTATTCGTGCCAGATCAGTCGTTCACACGACAAACCGATGGGCTTCTCATCTTCTTCCTGAGTTCAGTAATCTTATACTGCCTGACAGAGGAACTATTGCGGCACTAAAAGCGCCCCCGGGATTCATAAAGCATACCGGTGCCCAACATTGGGATTCAGTCGTCAACGTGAGGCTCACATATGCTCCCTTCACAATCGATAACCTGCTAACAAAGACAGAACTATCATCTCCAGCTCCCTCCGCCATACAACACTATCATCATTGGAGGAGCAAGGCAGCTTCTTGTCCACAAGCCAGAAGATTGCTTTCCCAGCGATAAGAACGATCAGCAGATTGCTGGAGCAGCTGCATTCTACGAATCTTGGGGCCCCTCTGATGTCATAGGCTCGCCTGATGCAGTTCCAGCGGAACTCAGCAAGGAAGCCAACGAAGGCGGCTGCTGGACTGGAAGTAAGGAAACACCATGTCGGTGAACTTGACATACAGTTGGCTGACTAAACTGCAGTTCAAACCGAATCTGCAGATGATTTTCCATTTGTTGGTACGGTGCCACAGCGGCCGGGCCATTTCATTGCGGCTGGGTTCGCGGGACACGGTAAGTATACTCCATTGCTGAGGATCACAGATAGGCTAATGGGTAAAGGCATGCCTCGCGTGCTGGGTTCGGCTGCTCACGTCACGCCTCTTGTACTAGAGTCGCTTGGTGTTGAATATAGCCAGCCCCTTGTTGCCGCATCATTTCCTCCACTGCCTCAACCGTTCCGCACTACCGCTGAACGGATTGAAAGACTCCAGGATACGAATCTCAGCGCGCTCGCTGAGGAGTACAAGCAGAGCTGTGGAGAAAGTGCGAAGAAGCCATTTTGCAATACCACGAGGGTCATGTCTGTGCTTGCAAACCCGTGTTCCTGGGATGGTGGCGACCAGCAGATCATGGTCCAGCCATGATGTGAACGTGTGTGGTTTGGACTAAGGTGAAAGTACCAGAGAAAGCATTATAGAAATACCATACCTATCTACATTATGAAGCAGGGCGCGAACACCAGGGATCCGTGTACGACGTCTTAAACGCTCTGGCAATGTTTGTCTTTCTTTTTGTTCAACGTCCAATCTGAATGATGTTGCCACGATCTTTGATCAATATACTGATTACTACGTCTCAGCTACCATCCCCGATGGGGCGCTGAGATGATCTCGTTCAAGGCGCTTTCTGCTGTAGTCATTCGCAGTATATTATACAAAGATAACCGATGTCTTCCACATACGACCATAGGACACTGAAAATTAGGCTTCCCGTCCGCTCAGCCATATACAAGCAGTGTACCGGCGGATTAGTAGTTAGGTGGGTGACCACTAGCGAATCCCCGCTGTTGTATGTTTTTGCCTTTTTGCAGTAATGTTGTAGAGCTCCAGCGACGACGCGCTTGGGTCTTTGGAACGTGACACAATGTGCTTACCTTTTGCTTCGGCTGTTTGCATGTTTGTACAAGATCTAGACCCACTCTGACGTAGTGAATGCCTTGCTATGATATCGATGGGATGTCCCATGTCTCAAATGCTGGGAACGCTTCATGATGTTGTCGCTGTATCGAAAGACATTGTTTACTTCCACTTCCCTTGGGATAGATGATTGGTTAGGTGAAGGACATTCGTATATACATTCTATCGTTCAGTCATACGTCAAGCGTTATATCTAGTTGCCCTTGTCGTCAGGCATCTACTTCTTCTTTGGGACCATGGACAAAAGAGTGTCGGCGTCTCTGATTCCAGCCAACTGACCCTGCTGCACGCGCTTAACAGTAAGCGCGGCGATGAGGGCGGCACCGACACCAGAGCCGTCCTCAGCGGGGAGGACCTCGACGGGGTCGCCCTTGCCCTTGCCGTACTTGTTCGGCCAGCCCATAATCTCCTTGAGCGCCTGAGCTTGGCGGACCTTGAAGTGTGGGTACTTTGTGAAGACGGAGCCATCGGCACCAACATGAACTTCATCCCACTTCTTGTGCTTACAGATGGCGGAGACACCGCATGCGGTAAGACGGGCAGCACGCGTACCGATGAGTTCGGCGAGGCGGCGGATGAGCTCAAGTTCGGGCTTGGTGCAATCGAGGCCGAGCTTCTCCTGGAAGAGATCGTGTGTGTCTTGCAAGTTCTCGAACCTGTCCTCCTCAATTGAAGACAGGAAACCTGCGTCAAGCGAGTAAGGCTTGTCGAGCTTGCTAGCGTTTTGGCCTTCGAACATGTGGCATTCGTTACCCTTGTGTAGATCCTGGAGAACCAAACGGAAGATCTCGCCAAGGTACAAACCAGCGACCATCTTCTCGAAAGATTGCTGACCAGGTCGTGGTGACTCCTTGTCAACAATGACATCGTACTTTGTCCTTGGGAGGACCTGGTGCTCGTTGTCAAAGGCTCCCCACTCGCAGTTGATGGCCATGGGCAGCTTGGGGTCAAGGTTCATGTGCTTCAACTTGGGGATGGCGCCACACTCCTCCATGTAGGCGGCGTTGCAGCCAGTGCCGAAGATGCAGCCAATCTTGATGCTCGTGTTAGTATAGGCGGAAGCGATCATAGTACCGGTTGTGTCATTGACCAGAGCGGCAAGCTTGATGGGTACACCGCGCTCTTCGAGAGCGGCCTTGAAGCCTGGTACGACGTCGACACCCTCCATGCCGGCTACATCGAAGCCCTTGGTCCACCGCTGGAGAACTCCGTGGTCGATGGCGTCTTGGGAGACGGGGTATGAAAAGGTGAAACCGAGGGGCAGATGGTCGAGCTGCTCGTTTTCGTGGTGGTATTCGATGAACTGCTGAAGACAATCAGCGACGTAGCCCCAGAGCTCGTCGGCGGTTCCGGTCTTCAACTCTTCGGGCATGCGATACTTTGATTGTATGATCTCGAACTCGCCCTTCTCTTCTGTCAGGGTGACCTCGCAGACACGCAGGTTGGTACCGCCCATGTCAAGGGCGAGGTAGCTGCCGGTTTCGTTGCCATCGGGGAAGGCCATACACCAGGTGGGAATCATGGGCTGTGGGGGGTCAGCGCGGTTCTGGAAGAGGGCATAGCGAGCTGCAACTCACAATGCTTCCGCCCTGTTCCGACAAGCCCTTCTCGAGTTCGCCGACGAAGTGGTCCGAAATCTTCTTGAGCTTATCTGTAGGAACGACAAACATGTCTTCGAGCTTGTCGATCTGCTCCTTCAGATCCTTGGGCATGTCCGCCATGGAGCCTAGCACAATGTTATTCCATCTGTCCTTGGGTGCGACGACAAGACTCGAGCATACCCCTGCGGGAGGGCGGTTTCCTTGCGCCTAGTAGCACCATGATTGCGGTTGTGAGGGTGGATTAGGTCAAGTTGTTGGTGTTATCGCGAAAGACACGGCGGTGATTCTGAGAACGAGAGTTCAGGACGAGAGGTGGGGACCCTGACGTAGAGTGTTAGTCTCTGAATGACCAAGGAGCCCTGTGGGCTGGCTAGACCGCAACGAAACAGCTCAATGGTCATGCACGGCGGTCAATCCCACTTTTGTATACGATATTTGCTTCTCCACCCGCCCAGGTTGCTTTTGGAAGTGCTATGGGGGGGACATGGGCTTACCGAGATAGTGTAGTGATGCAAGCCCGCTGTGCTGTCTGCCAATGGCTCGCGACGTTGCTCGGTAAGCGGTGTACACGTCGGAAAAAAAGCGTAGAGTGAGTGTGATGGATAGCCCAAGGGAGCGGATGCGCAAACGAGGGGCACAAGCGTAAAATCCATAGCTGTTGAGCTGGGCCCCCGCCCCGCTATCCCACGCCCCGTCGCAGGAGACGACTCCGGCGGCTTTTGTTGCCATGACGCACCTCTAACGTGGTCCTGGCCCGGCCTGCACAAGGCTGACGCTCCCGCCGACGCCCCTCGCTTGCACTAGCCCGCTTCGCCCAACCACCGGGCCCGATTACTCATCACGACAAAGCTCACATCGCTTCACTTCATTAGGCGTTAAACACTACACATGTACAAGAATCACATTTCCCTCGTCAGCTCCAACTACGAAGCTGTACAAGCGCCCGCACCCTTGGCTGTCTTCGTCCCCCAACTGAGCACAGTCGCCGTGCTCTTCACGACTACCGTCTTCGTCTTGGGTGTTCCACTAACAGTCTCCGTCTTCACTCCTCCACCCAACGTCACCGTCTCCAACTTGGTGCTCGTAGAAACCGGTAGCGTGATTGTCGTCTTGGACGTCACATCGCTCGACTTGGTAATATAGACTGTTTCTTGCGCCGCGAGTATGGTCCATGTCTTCGAAGCCGTCTTGAGAGAGCTGATGGTAACTGCTGGTTCCGTGACAGTGGAAAGTACCGTCTTCGTGACGAGCTCAGTTGAGTAGAGTGTGCTCGTCGAGGCCTTGAGAGTCGTCGTCTTGCCCACCATCTCTGTTGACAGCACAGTTGTATAGTAGGTGGAGCCTGCTTGCGCAATCGTCAAAGTCTTCACCACCGAGGTAACCGTGATTGTGCTGGTGCTGGCCTTCAGAGAAGTCGTCTTAGTGGCAATGGAAGACACGGTAACTAGGGCAGTCGAGCCTGCTTGAGTTGCAGTAGTTGTAGCTACGTAGCTGCTAACCGTGGTGCTGATGGTGAGCGTAGTGGTGCTAGCCACGGCACGGGGAATGACGGCGCCTCGGCGGACCAGGTTCTGAGCACTGCCAGTAGGTACGCAAGACAAAGTGGTAGTCGACTTCTTGGTAGTTGTCTTGATCGAGATGCTGCTAACAGTGACTGAGCTCTTGGGCTGCACAGTAGTTGTCTTGGTGGTGCTTGGCTCAACAGAGATGGTAGTCTTGACGGTCGTGGAGGCCGCCTTCTGGGTCTTGGAGCTTGTGATAAAGACGGTGGATCCCTGGCTGATAGTGACTGATGTCGGCTTGGGTGAGGACGTGTACAGGACAGTGACAGTTGTAGTACCCTTGACTGTTGAAGTTGTGGCTCCCGTGGTAGTTACTCCAGCTTCGGTCACGGTGCCCTTGACTACACTAGTCTTGGTAACAGGCTCCGGTGTGATTGTTAGACCAACGTCTTCAGTTACTACCGATGTAGACGTAGAGGTAACGTCAGGAGACACGATGGAAGTAGTGGCAGTTACCTTCAACGTGCTAGTCTTTAGCACATCGATAGCACTGATCGAGAGAGTTTCTGTGCTCTTCACGACAGTAGTTGAGGTGACCTCAGGTGCGGTAACAATCGCGCTTGCGGTGAGCTTTGCGATCACTGTAGTTGTGGTGTACGCGGTGACGATCGGTAAGCTACTTGAAGATGTGAGACTGATAGTCGACAGCGACGCGGTAGAAGATGCGGTAGAAGAAGAGACGAGAGACGAAGATGCAGCGCTACAGACTTGCGGCGAGCCCATTCCAACCGTGAAAGGCTGGGTATCAACGTATCGGAAATCGATGAACGCAGTCGATGGGAAGAACGACGCAAGTTGAAATTGAGCGACATCGCTGTCTGAAAGCTGCTGGCTGAAGCTGGCACGCTTACAAATTGCGGAACCGGGACCAGTGTTATGGTATTCTCCATAAGTGACACCGTCCGTCTGGGGGTTGCTCTTTGACCATTGCGCCCACCCAGCAGGGCTGATCATGGCGTCAAGGTAACATGCGACATAAGCAACGCGCGAAAAGCTATTCCACGGGCGGCCGAGGCTAACGCTGCTGAAAGACACAGAACCAGGAGCTGGCACAATTCTCGATTGATCAAACACGAAACCAGCAGCGGTCGTGTTGGTGGTACGCTTGTGGGCCGTGATGCTGATTCCATCCTCGTTGGAGGCGATGGTTGAGTCCAAGAAGTATGCGGATCCAGAGCCATAGATGAAGTCAACGTTGCCCTCAATGTACGTCTTGAATGTGAAGAGGTTACCAGAGACACTGAGAGTGTCTTGGTTACCGTAGATCTGACATCCATACAGCGCA